GGACGTTTTTGGGACGCTTTTCGGTCGTTTTTTACCATGCGGAAGATACAACTCGGATCAGATTCGGATTGAGAATTGGAGAGTGGGGACGAATTCGGCCGGAAACGGCTGAATTAGGACGCTTCCTGAACAATATCAGATTGTTTGTGAATTTCCCGCCACGAATCACAGATTCTTTATCAAACTTTTGACAAATTTTAATCGGGAATGGTCCTAACAAGGACGGCAGTAAAAATCCTGAATGTGTGTCTGAGCCCTTATGAAACAGGAAGTTCGTTATAATTTAGGAGAGTCTGGATATGAGAAACAATACAGACAGCCTAATATACGATAAATTAAACAAAAGTTGATTTATCTTCACCACAAATTATGAACACAAAAAAATAAATATTCAGGTTTGATATGCACCATCATTGTTCATGATCTAAAACATGGCCAATACTTGGTGAAACACTGTTAAATCGTACCAGATCACCATGTAATAGTACGAACAAGTGTCATTCGAAAAAGCATTAGCTGGTAGCAGTTCCTCGTCAAATCAAACATGGTTGTGCAACGGGGCGATGGAGTAGCCTTGTGGTTAATGCATTCGCTCTTCATACCGAAGACCGGGTTCAATTTCCCATATGGGTACAATGTGTCAAGCCTATTGTTGGAGTTCCCCCGACCTGATATTGCTGGACTGTTGCTAAAAGGGGCGTTAAACCACACCCACTGGTTGTGCAGAGGAAGAGGTTGTATGTGGTACTCACATAATCAGACACACATACAACGGATTCCCAGGCTGGACATCCATACTTATCGGGTGTGGACACGCTACGGCTCAGGCTCCACCTTTGGCTAAGAGTACATGTAAATGTCCATTGGCCCTGGAGCTTCATCAAGTAGTTCTATGGTGTGTTGTGAACTGAGGCGCATACTGCATATTTTACTGCCGCTTCTATCCAGTCCTCTCCCCAAAAACAAGCTGTGTGGTAAAAATGTCGAAATTGTTGTCTTATTTCGTTTGTGCAAAATCTTTGTGTCTTTAGGTGTTATTCAATGTTAAATACAGTATACATCACTATATACATGACTTGCAAGATGTTTGCATCAGTGCACCAACCTAGTCTCATCTCACGGCTGCTTTATCATAAATCAATAGTTTTTGTCATCTAATACAACCAAAATCAAACACAAAAGATGTTGTTTGTCCAGTCCTGTAGCAGCAGACATATTTTATGTCCATTGGTTCCACTGTGGCCAGTCTGTTCTATATCATAACAAAGACATCAGCAAATATCAGATCTGTTTATTGTGAAAATAAATCACGAATAATCATAACAAAACCGAGTGATTACAAATTTCCTGTATACAAAGTTGTCAGAAAAGCCTTTGTTGAAAACTCTGTACATTCTTACTTATAGATTAAAAACATGATCTCAGATTTGCATAGTTTGAGAAATGTGAACACAGTGTACAATATCCATATCAAATGTCATGTAAGGGTGTTTATATAAATACGGAGAAAATGTTAATACTTTTTGTAGATCGTAGTGAGAGTACAGGAATGTGTGTGAGCATATCAAACAGCGGTGGGATTAAAAGTGTTGAGCATACACAGATAAAGCTTTCTAACATGTTACGTAAACCTTTTAGCGCCACTTGGTTTTTTCTTTTTATCTTGAAATTTCAAGATAGTAAATTGAAATTTCAAGGCAAAATCAATTATTATCTTGAAATTTCAACTTTGTATACATCTTGAAATTTCAACTGTATTATCTTGAAATTATAACAAACCATTTTGATATTTCAAGATAATAAGTTGAAATTTCAACTTAATATCTTGAAATTTCAAGATCATTATCATTACTGTCACTACAAACAGGTACTGGTGACCTTATCTGACCTGGAATCTCTACATTATACCAGGGTAGGGGTTGAGAACAAATACCTCAGTTTTGAGGCAACATGTAAATTAGGTACCTTGTGATACAATGTTCCTAATGTCATAAAATTATCCCGAGATTCTAGAAACTGAGTGCTAACCATGCCATTTGCTGTACTAACAATATCACAGCTTAGCTTGATCTCATAAGGCCTTGTAAATATGAAAAAATGTTTGTGCAATAAAAATACACATGATCGCTCTAGTGAAAACACTTCATTAAAAAACTTGTACAGAGCATATTTAGGCTAAACTTTATTCATCCTTGGTTATTTTAGAAACAATTTTGGTTGATAGGTTTTGGGATGTCATTTTCCTGTGTGCCGTGAGTCTTGCCGCTAAAGGGCAAGTAAAGTCAATATAGCAACATTGCAGATTTTAATACTTTAGGGCATAAATGGAAATAAGATGATGTAAAACAGATGATAAAAAAAAAACCACAAAAAATTAGGTCATTGAGGGGATTCCCCTAACTGGGGTTAAAAAGGGTTTTTGATGAGCTGCACAATTTGAACAATCCTGGTGCCCAGTCTGCCTGCTTCTGCCCTGGCTTTTTTAATACATGAGGCACTTTTTTTGTCTACCCATCCATTTGATTACTGTGTCCACAACTTATGTCACCTTAGTAACAACGCTGAAGTTGTTTACTCTGGAGATTAATCATAAGAATCACAAGTGGCAAGCACATTAGCCAATGAAAACAGTTGTCACAGCTAGGCCACGACCCCAAATAGGTTTGTTTTGGAAGCCAATTACAGAGTGTCAGTGTGCGAGCTCAGGCTATGTTACCGCTTATAGATGAAAACCAAGCCTCGCTTTCACACAGGTTATAAATAGATTCAATGCTAAAGGCCCCATAGTGACGTCACAGCCCCTGTCACAGGAAGTGAAAAATCCTGGGCTCTACACCTACCTCATATAAACCTTTTATTACAAATCCTATATGTACATGTAATGTTTTCATATATTTCCCATTTCCACATATGTCAATTTACCAAAATAATACCTAAATATAACCCATCCATGCACTGTAGAAGCTGTGAGAACATGTTTATTGAAGTCACGTGACCTCAAAATATTCTCTCACAGGGTAGAAGTCATTCACAAAAATATGGGTTCCATCTATCTTAGAGGGAGGAGGGGCCAATTCCTATGTTTCCTGCAATCACTGATCACTAAGCTTACTATATCCAACTTAAAACAGGAGGAGCTACAAATGTAAACATGTTTTTAATTGGATAAAAGACAGTCCCCAGTTTCCCCCTCGAAGTGACCAAGAAGTCCCACACAGAGCGGCCAGAAACATAAATAAATCTGGCATCTTACTGATAGCATCACATTCTAGTGACAGATATGTTACTTTAGGGCAGTTTAACACCGTTTGTTTAAATTTGAGTTGACTGATATGTCATTGAGGGACTAATTTGTGTGTCAGGGGTCTAAACTGATGGTTTACAGGTTGTGGTGTTTGACATTTGGTTCTTTCTGTCTTAAGCTGTCTGGACATAGTTTGTCAGTGTTATCACACTGAACAGACATTTGCACTTAAATAAATCAGAACTTAAATCTCAAATATGTATTGGTTTGTTAGTTTTAATTAGGGAAAGTAACCCTTCACACCACCGGAAGTTGTCAAGATTTTAGTCATGTGACCTCTATCAGTAAAATGATTGGCTCAAACCTATCGTCTGCTGTAGCAGTATACTTCTTTTACTGTTGTGGTGGACGATTACTTTTGGATTATACCTTGGCTATTGCATTTTTATGCTCGGTCATGGCTAAATTGTGTGTTTCAACTGTTATTTTCTTGGAACTCACTTGGAATACCAGTCTCTTACTAACTATTTATCATGATGCAACTTCCAAGTGACACCACTGGAGATTTGTCAAGAAAGGTATGAACATATTGGAATTCTGGCACTTCTATAACTAATGAATTTTCAAGTGGAAAATATCAAGAGTACATTTATACCAATAAGGCTTGTGTATGCATTAATATTATATAGAAGTTTAAACGCTAGTAGAATTTTGCATCTAGTGACTATATGTGCATTTATGCCATCCAACAAGTCAGAAAAAATAGAAACAAAAGAAAAAATAATGACATTCCTCCTGAGAAAAATGTAAGACATCGTAACATAATGGTAGCCAATGTCGTCCTTGTCAGGTATGCATACAGTTGGGACAATTTAAAAAAAGATGATCCTCATCATGAAATGAATAAACCTTATTATCCAGGTGAAAAGCATTAATATCCAGTGAATATATTTTGTAACATGGAAAGCTAATAAAAGTACAAAAAAGTTGTTTCAGTAGAAACCTCTGTTTAAAAACTCCAGTTGACAGAGACTATAGAGTGAATATGTCATCTGCTAGCAAATTGTATTTACTGTTTGTAGGTCGCACTTGAGAACGAGGCTTGGTTTTTACGGGAAAAGATATCAATTACAAAATTGAGGCTAAGCTCGCACACTGTGTGTGATTTCATCAGTTTCACTTGAACTTTCTATGAATATAATCATATTTTCTCTATTTGGAAATCAGCTAAATGTGTCTGGGAATTTGATATTCGCAACAAAATTGCAATCATTTTTTTCCACTTTGCTTGCCCTTTAACCTTTTGTATGCAGAACTATCTGTACTTTTCATAATTTTTATCCACATTCCATTTTTTCATGGTTGACATGCATAAACCAATTAAAAAAGCCTTTTGCCTTATGAATGAATGTGTGTTTTCTCATTCTCTAACATATACTATGTTCTTCCATATACTCTCAATGTATCATAGCCCGTCAGTGATTGCAATATTAATATTATTCATATATATATAAGCCTTTTAGCGCCGCTTGGTTTTTTCTTTTTATCTTGAAATTTCAAGATAGTTAATTGAAATTTCAAGGCAAAATCAATTATTATCTTGAAATTTCAACTTTGTATACATCTTGAAATTTCAACTGTATTATCTTGAAATTATAACAAACCATCTTGATATTTCAAGATAATAAGTTGAAATTTCAAGATAATAAATTGAAATTTCAACTTAATATCATGAAATTTCAAGATCATTATCTTGAAATTTCAACTTAGTATGTATCTTAAAATTTAAAACGTAGCATCTTGAAATTTCAGGATAGTAAGTTGAAGTTTCAAGATGCTATGTCGAGATTTCAAGATACTAAGTTGAAATTTCAAGGCAAAATTAACTTGTCTTGAAATTTTAAAATCATTATCTTGAAATTTCAACTTTGTATATATCTTGAAATTTCAACTTAATATCTTGAAATTCAAGAAAAAAAACCCAAAAAAACAAATGGTCTCCGTAACATGTAGCTTGAAACCATTAATGTTGATTTTTCTTAACAATGTAACAGTACCAACATAATATATTTAATAACAATTATTTGAATCATTATATGAAAAGATAGTATGAGACAAATAATGTAATGTTTATGACTAAATATTTCAAACTATCTGTTGTCTAGATAGTAAAACCCTCACTTTATTTATCATGAATAAAAAAAATGACTACTCTTCACTGCAAATCCTACATCTTGAGCATGTTGAGCATGCCGAGGCTACCAAAAGTAGTTGTAAACAAACTGTCATAAATCACTACTGTTACGACAAACAGGTACTGGTGACCTTATCTGACCTGGAATCTCTACATTATACCAGGGTAGGGGTTGAGAACAAATACCTCAGTTTTGAGGCAACATGTAAATTAGGTACCTTGGGATACAATGTTCCTAATGTCATAAAATTATTCCCAGAATTCTAGAAACTGAGTGCTAATCATGCCATTTGCTGTACTAACAATATCACAGCTTAGCTTGATCTCATAAGGCCTTGTAAATATGAAAAAATGTTTGTGCAATAAAAATACACATGATCGCTCTAGTGAAAACACTTCTATAAAACTGATTTGTACAGAGCATATTTAGGCTAAACTTTATTCATCCTTGGTTATTTTAGAAACAATTTTGGTTGATAGGTTTTGGGATGTCATTTTCCTGTGTGCCGTGAGTCTTGCTGCTAAAGGGCAAGTAAAGTCAATATAGCAACATTGCAGATTTTAATACTTTAGGGCATAAATGGAAATAAGATGATGTAAAACAGATGATAAAAAAAACCACAAAAAATTAGGTCATTGAGGGGATTCCCCTAACTGGGGTTAAAAAGGGTTTTTGATGAGCTGCACAATTTGAACAATCCTGGTGCCCAGTCTGCCTGCTTCTGCCCTGGCTTTTTTAATACATGAGGCACTTTTTTTGTCTACCCATCCATTTGATTACTGTGTCCACAACTTATGTCACCTTAGTAACAACGCTGAAGTTGTTTACTCTGGAGATTAATCATAAGAATCACAAGTGGCAAGCATATTAGCCAATGAAAACAGTTGTCACAGCTAGGCCACGACCCCAAATAGGTTTGTTTTGGAAGCCAATTACAGAGTGTGTGATGTCATCAGTTTCACTTGAACTTTCTATGAATATAATGATATTTTCTCTATTTGGAAATCAGCTAAATGTGTCTGGGAATTTGATATTTGCAACAAAATTGCAATCATTTTTTTTCACTTTGCTTGCCCTTTAACCTTTTGTATGCAGAACTATCTGTACTTTTCATAATTTTTATCCACATTCCATTTTTTCATGGTTGACATGCATAAACCAATTAAAAAGCGTCTTGCCTTATGAATGAATGTGTTTTTTCTCATTCTCTAACATATACTATGTTCTTCCATATACTCTCAATGTATAATAACCCGTCAGTGATTGCAATATTAATATTATTCATATATATATAACCCTGGACAGTTTGTTAATGTCCAACATCTAGTAAATATGTGAAGGTAAAAGAAAATTCTACAAAATGAGGCACATCACAACCAAAAGTATAACAAATAACATTTTTCAACAAAAACTATCATCTTCACTTAGATATAAATAGCAGAAAATATATTAACATTTTCATGACCACAGTCAAAATAGCTAACAAAACTCAACATTGTCAGGTCGTGCTACAATTAAGATAACAGCTTGTGATAATATTTTTTGATTGTATGGATATAAAGCATCTACATATTTGTGCATAATTAGAATATATAATTCTTTTTACAAAACTTAAGCAAGTATCTGTAATGATCAAATACTAGCATCCATGCATACTTCTTTTCCTACACAGCTTAGCTAAACCTGACTAGACTCTACAATCAGTATGATTTTTAAAGCTAAGATATTCAGATACTTGGTGCTTGAAATAGAAAGAACATTTAAAAAAATGTTTTCATAAGTGACATCTGCAAAGTAGTATTCTTAAGAGGGAAAATACATATGAAATAAAAAGTGTTTTAAACATGATAAGGGGCTATTTTCACTTTCAATACCATGATCACGATCTGAAATATACTATCATGAAAGTGTATCCCGTGGATAAGCCGACCCCTTTCTACAGAATCTTTTTTCTGGTCCTCAAAAATCGGTTTATCTGCGGACATATACAGTATTTCAATATAAGCTTAACTGATAAAACTGTGGCTTAAACACAACAGTAGACAAGTTGATCTCTCTGAAGGCATTCTGTTGCCCACAAGTAATAATGCAATGATTGAAAGCAAACATATTTGACATTGGTCAGTTGGTAGTCATCGATAACAATTGATCATGTACAACAGTTATGGTTTTGTTCAGTTGTACATACAGCAAGTACAGAGCATTAATTCATTGTTTTTTATATCACTTAGGTGATTAGTTTAATATTGCATACTTTGATCTGAGCCCTTCTTAAGTTGTTGTCTTTATAGATACTGCTCTGATGACAGTACAGTCTGACACACATGTTACAGATCCTCTTTGGGTGCTGCTTGGACAAATTTTTCTGGGAACTGTTCCTTGAGGAAGTCCATATAGCCAACAACAGGGTACTTGGCCATGTAGGTGCCATCAAACACGTCGTCCAGGGCTTTGAGGTGGTCATCAGACAGGTCCGACTGAAGGGGAACATCATCCACATCATCATAATTCATCATCATCCTCATCATCCTCATCATCCTCATCATCATCACAATACACTGGACTGGCCATTTCATCATTTCATGAACACAGAACAGTGGGTTATACTGTCTGAGAATCTTGGACAAGTAGGTAAATTGGTCTACGGTGCAAGTCACTGTCCAGGTTGCCCTGCTGAACCAGGATCACAGATGCACCCTGATGATGGTCGGCACTATAACAATGCTCATGGGTTGTAATCATCTGAGTACTCAACTACACTGAATACATCTCAACATACTTTAAAAGTCCAGTTTCCACCCTTGCCAAACTAGGCTGAAATTCCTGGGCTCGACCGTAGTGCCACCAGTAGCTATTACGAGTTATGTCCCTTCTATGCCTCTCCTATGGACCAATCAGATTCCACCTCTCGTATCACTTGCATTTGCTTCAAACAAAATGGTCGCGCCCAGTCAAGACGATCTGATCGATAATCAAGATCTATATTGTGATAAAATGGGTCTGACATTGCGAAGTGCATCAAATCAAATGAGCACCTTGATTAAAAACATGAAAAGTTTTGGAAAATAACTGTTGAAAACAAGTTGGCGGTGCACATGTTTTGCAAATATTGCAATCGACCGAAAACTGCATCACAGTTTACGAACTGGATTTCGATTTCGTTGCACGATTTTGATTGGACTATATGCATGGACTTGTTAGTCCAGACAAAATGTAACTCCATAATACCAGCGTAGTTTGGCAAGGGTGGAAACTGGACTTCTATAGTCAGTTAACTCTCTTGCGTCGGGAAGATGACTGAGGGCCAGATATTTCTATCATTTGAAACCATGGACCTACCATGTTGGTTCCAAATGAAATTTCCAGTGCCATGATTCTCAATAACCATAACATCTGCAAGTCTGAATATATTAAATATTATCCTCCAGGGTTTGCATATCTACGTACGATATCATGAGTGAGGTCCTCTTCCTCCAATGACATCTTGGCCACCGCCTTGCTGCAGTCCATGCCAATCAGGGAATTATAGGCAGACCCTTTCCCATAGAAGTCTGAAAACAGAGGTACTCACAAGTCAGATATCACCAGAATAGGCAACACTACAATCACAGTCAGTACTTCACTACATGTATGTACTACATGTGGCTGTATGGTGGTATTATTTTGAACCAACAAATCAAAACATGACCTGGTTGAAGCGAGAGGGAAGCCAGCAAGTGCTAAAACCAATGAGCACTCATGTTGTGTTTGTTTGTTATTTAACGCCACACTCAGCAAATATTTCAGCTATATGACGGCGGTCTGTAAATAATCGAGTCTGGACCAGACAATCCAGTGATAGACATCATGAGCATCGGTCCATGCAATTGGGATACAATGCCATGCATCAACCAAGTCGGCGAGCCTGACCACCCGATCATTTTAGTCGCCTCTTATGACAAGTATAGTCACCTTTACTTTGCTGAAGACCTATTCTACCCTAGATTTTCACAGGTTTGAACACTCATGTATTCTCCAATGATGATGAAACATTCTGCAGCCTTTGAAATTTATTAACAGAATGAAACTGACAGAAAATGTACACATAGTAAACATTTTTGTCTCTTTCAAGCAGGACAAGCTACATACTCTGAGGAATTGTGAAATATAGTTTACAAGTCCTCTAGACTAGTCTTATACAATGTTATAAGAACAGAATTTCTAAGGCTGTAGTGCATACAAAATACAAACATTTTCAGAAATATGAGCATGACATGCATGATGAGGCAGGAGGCATTTTGATTTTTTACATATAATTAATATTACATACCGTATTCGACGTAATAATCGCCCAGGGCGCTCTCAAATCAAATATTAGAATCTTATTTTGGTGAAAAAAAACAGAGTTGAAAGATAAATTTCATGGTTTATGGTGACAGCCTGAAATGTTTAATACGACAGATATATTTTTCCAGAATTTAATTGCTCATAATTAAGGGTGCATATAACACACGAGTGTGTATTATACGTGAATAAATAAGTCTTGTGTACATTGATCAATCGGAAGGGGTTCTAATTTGGATTGTTCACTAGCCAATATATCAGCAAATATCGCCGTGGGCGCTTATTAGAGCGGGGCGCTTATTACGTCGAATACAGTATCTGTTTGAGGAATTTGTAGCTGTGTTTGTGTGTCTGGATACTAGAAACAGTGCTTGTACATAGCTACAGGTTTGCAGCAAACACACACTATGGCCATGGTCAAATTACGGATATTATCAACTTGCTGGCTATATATCACTGCATATGTCGCTGTAACACGTTCACAATGACTTACCTTTTCCTTTGGAGACATCAAACACCACTCCCTTCACACCCATGTAGAGTGGCCTGGCAGACTGTCAACAAATACTCACAGATAATTATGACTTACAGGATAAATAAGAATCTTGATCAATAAACATTGTAAAACTAAACATATATATTAGGGACAAGGTAGGGCTGGGACGAGTCCAAATTTACTACCTGGGTACCCGACCCCCTATTACCTGACCCTACCTGGGTACCCGCTGTAGGTCTCAAGAGAGAGGTACAAAATGTCCAATTGGGAAATGTTTGATCATACTCCTGTTAAAATGTATTTAGATACAGGTATAAACTGATCTGGTCATGCATACACTGAAGTTGACAGAAGTTTTATCTTTATGCAAACATATAAAGCCAGAAGGAATGTGTGATAATCAGAAATAAATGTGGACATTTGTCGCTTATAGTGTAACCGTAGTGTTCTGGATAATTTTTGCCATTAAACAATATATTCATGTGGCTAACCACGGGACCGGGTAGTCCTTTGGGTACGGGGGCATGGGTGGCCTAGTCGTCTAAAGCACTGCCATTCGCTGTGCAGAGTTGCGTCCCTTGAGCGTGCCAGAAACCTATGATTGTGGGTTCGATTTGATATTGATGATTATGATGATATAGTTTTATTTTATGTCAATCTCTAGTTCATCCATGGCATATTTGTAACTCAGTGAGAGACTGTTTAGGTGACACTTTTCTTAAATTCTTCAGTTTACGAATTAAATTTAGCAGAGACGAAAGCTACAATAAGAATATAAAATAGTCAGAATTTGTTTCAATTTTCCATCTGCACTATCTCAGACTTGAAAAATAAATGGAACAACAACAACAACAACAACAACAACAAGTAACTGGTAATTAGTTTTAGATTGGTCCCTTGGGCACGCCAGAAACCTATGATTGTGGGTTCGAATCCTGGTTCGCCCCAATTATGTTCCTAGGTTTGTCAGCACCATACCCGTGCTCGTGGGTTTCACCGAAGTGGTAAACGTCTGAGACCTGCATCACTTCAGGCTTTCCTCCCACATTAAGCTGACACGCCGCGATATAACTGGAATACTGTTAAAAGTGGCGTTAAACCCAACTCACTCACTCACCTTTGGGTACCTGGGTCCTACTCAGTACCCATCCGACCCAAGTACTCGAGTTACCCGTCATAGCACTAGGACAAGGTGTATGCCGATTAATCTTGTCTGTTTGACCCAGAAATGGATCTCTGCTAAGGATCGATCATCAAGGGTATATTTAGAATGGATCTACCCTCCTTGCCTACGAAGAGCCTAGTTAATAAACAGTAGAGCTAGAAACTTATTGTTCTTTTCACCATTCTGTAAAAAATGTATGGTACACAGTTGCCATCTGCCTGAACATGCTAAAAGTGGTAGTTCACAAGGAAATGTCACCAGTCTTTCCTGAATTATACTGGTCTTGGATTAGCAGACTTGAATAAATTTTCAAACCCGGAATAGGCTCAGAAGTGATGTGGTTTCAGTCATTGATTAACCTCTATTTAATGTTCGCACCCATGAAGATCCATGTTACCGTGAGAAGCGACTAACTGGATTGGGCTATTCTGTCGCTGACTTGGTTGATGCATGTCATGGTATTTCAATTGTGAAGAGCTATGCTCATGATGTCAATCACTGGACTCTGATCCAGACTCAATTATTTACAGACCGCTCTCATAAATCATATCTGGAATATTGCTGAGTGCAGCGTTAAACAACAAAAAGACAAACACTAACGTTCACATTTCTTTCTGACTATTACCGCATTTGTTCTGACTTTTATATGTTTGAATAAAGATAGTCAAAGTAAAGTCAAGATAGTCAACTTCGGTCAACTTCAGTCAACTTCAGTGTTTGCATGACCAGATCGTCTTATACATGTATTAAAATACTTTTTGCCAGGGCTTCCAATTCCCAATCAGACATTTTGTACCAATCTCTAGAAACGTACAGCGGATAGGGCCAGGTAATAGGGGGTTGGTAAGTAGGTGTTTGATCAGCAAGGGGTGCAAACCCTAATTAATGTACAGGGTGCTTGATGTAAAGACAATCCCAGGGCTGAGGGTGGTATTGACAATGATTGAGGGAATCCCAAGGATATCAAAGTGGCATTTGAGATCAATAAAGCGCGAGCCATAGCCAGAGCCACATACATATAGAGACTAGCCAGTAAGTGATCAGATTCAGGTGATTGTGGCCGAGGCCAATATATCAGCTGGTATATAGATGCACCCTGAATAAAATCGGTTATTATTGCTGAAAGGATCATGCGATACTACAGATATGAACCCTAGCCAAATCAGATCAGGTGCTCTAGCACTGGGACAAGGAGTGCCATCACATGTACTTATTGCTCATTTAACGGGTAGTTAGAACCTCATTAACATGCATATGCAATTATGGTAAACAATGAATTGCGCGTGTTACTGACGTCACACCCACTCCTTTCATTATCTTGAGGAAGCCACGCCTTTCATTGTCCATCAAAATGAGTAACCAATCGAGCGATGAAACATGATTAATGGACTAATCTTACAGGATTATCCTCATTGGAAACACTGTGAAAAGGTAAGAATTGTTGTCTAACCCTAGCCCTAACCAGGCTAACCCTAAGAGTCGAAAAGGGGTTTTGGCTTGGAAAGGCGTGTCAGCTCCATACAATTGAAAAGGGGAGCTGGATCGCCAAGGCGTGTCTTCTCCCTGAGATGAGTGCGAGTGCATTCGAGCGTGAGCCACAGTAATGGTATTGCGAGACAGCGGTAGTTCTACAGTGCTATAGCGTGGTAATTGAGTTGTTGGGATGTTAGCGGGCGCAGCTACACCGCGTAAACTTCATTATTGCCCGACAAGGCCCCCTTCAGCATTATTATTGCAACAATATCATTATTTTCGAAATGATATTTACGCACATTTTATAACTGTCAAATTGTAAGTAAACATAACAAGCTGAGAACAAGTACATAACGACACTCAACACTTCGAACTTCTAAGGAAGTCTCATTTCTGTCATGATCTAAGGGAAATAACCCCGTTTTACTTACGTTTGATCCGTCGTATTGAGCTATTTTTCTTGCAGAAAATATTTCAGCAGGCTTTCCATTTATTTCTAACATAACTTCAACATCTTTGAGCTTGTAACCTAGGACCAAAAGTGAAGACTGCAAAAGAAATACAACAAACAAAAAAGAAGCCATTGCTGATAAAGTCCTGAAACGATAGGAAGACTCCATTTTGACACGCAGTCAGCCAAGCTCCTTCCCAGCGCGTGACACCTTCGTTACTCTCGGTAACTCAGTTATAGATAGCTCCGCGAACGGGATATTGCTGTGAGGAGCTGGGCAGTCAGCTAGTTACCGTATTTCTTTGCGCTAGCGATACATACGCAAGTTTGTCTTCAGAGACAGAGCCCAGCTTAGTTCGTCCGGTGCGTGGTATTTGTAACGTTGTATGTGATTGGACAAATATGGCCAATTGCCGCGAGGTTTCTTTCTCTATTAGTCACAAGGGCGTACATTTCCGGTGGAGACCAATGGACGTCTGAGTCCGAAAGTTTGGTAACAAACATAATCAAGGTCCATCCACCATGGCGAGTGGTGCAAGTAAAGTTGTTGTCTGTGACAATGGAACAGGAGTAAGTATGAAACCATTATCATATGCTATTTGGGCAAATTATGATCTTTATACCATAATTTAATGAAGCCGGAAAACCCGGAAGCGATGGATCTGTCACAAGATTCAAGAAATACTGTGGAGTTTTCATCCAGATCATTCAGCGTTTTTGACGCCAAAATCCATAAGTCAGTCTGTTGAAAATACATCACAAAATTAATCCTGCACATGCAATTCGGTTAATTGCTATCGTGGTGCAGCAGTATCGAGTCAAGATAAGTTTCCCAAACGACCCCACCCCCTTTTCCCCATTGATCAACTTGTTTCACTTCCTGATTACTTCAGTGCTTGTATCAGTGTTATCGTGTACAATTTTCCTCATCTTATCAGACTATCAGATTTTATGTGGTTTGTTTTCAATATGAATTTACAACACTAACAACAATGAATACCTCTTTTTCTAGGAATACCAAATTATCATTGATTTCTTCACTAAATACCTAGTTATCTATATGAGACAAGTTGTGTCAAAAGTTGAAAGTTTATGGGGTTCTTCCAAATAAGTGGAAAGAATTAAAACAGATACTCTTATGGGGATGTAAATTGTTACACTTATCATTCATTGTGAAATTTTAGAAAGTTATGTATCAACATTGTTTAGGCTTGGTCTGTCATCACCATAATCATGATAATATACTCCTGGTTTTCACTTAATGTTAAATGTGTACACCTGCAGCATTTTGAGCTCTCCTACCAGATTAACTGAGCTGACACACTCAATTACAACTGAAACAGTGTTATCATCATGTAAATGGTTATACACAACTAAATCTACACGTTCATTGTTTGAAGTTGAACATGAAAGTTATTGGGCCTGACAGCTCCAGATATACTTTGTATCTGTGTAAAGTACACACACAACCAAAATCACCATGAGCCAATTAGTTTTTGCCTGTGTTTGAATATACCGAATAGTTTCAATAACGCTTGTAATTAGTAATTACCCAACATAGCATTTTCAGCTTGCATTCCAATATTTCTTCACTTACTGATTTAATACAGGTATCAGACCATGCTCACATACATCTTTCCGAGGCAAGAGAGTTAACTGACTATAAAAGTCCAGTTTCCACCCTTGCCGAACTAGGCTGGAATTCCTGGGCTTGATCGTAGCGCCACCAGTGGTTATTATGAGTTATGTCTCTTCTGAGCCTCTCCTGTGGACCAATCCGATTCCATCACTTGCATTTGTTTCAACCAAAATGGCGGCGCCCAGTCAAGACGATGTCATCGATAATCAAGATCGATATTGTGATAAAACAGGTCTTACATTGCGAAGTGCATCAAATCACATGAGCACCTTGATTACAAACTTGAAAAGGTTTGGAAAATATCTGTTGCCAACAAGTTGGCAGTGCACATGCTTTGCAAATCCTGCAATCGACCGAAATCTGCACAAAAGTTTACGAACCGGATTTCGATTTCATTGCGAGATTTTGATTGGACTATGCATAGGCTCGTTAGTCCAGCCAAAATGTAACTCCATTATACCAGTCTAGTTCGGGAAGGGTAGAAACTGGACTTTTATAGTCAGTTAACTCTCTTGCCTCGGGAAGATGGCTCACATAATACACAAACCTTTCACATATTCTAGCTTATATAGAACTTTTGTCATGTTGCTGTGTGATCTTGAATACATCAAACCACAATATTTGTTGTGTAACTTAGAGTATTTGAATCAAGGAACCCTCGGAATCTCCTGTCCTTATTATTAGGGTTATGATGAGGAAGGACAAGTTTGGGTTAAACTCAAAAGTTACTGTTATAGACCAAAACATAAATGATACTTGTGCTTAATTTTCTTCATTTTGTTTGCAGTTTGTCAAGTGTGGATTTGCAGGTCAAAACTTCCCAGAGCACATATTTCCATCACTTGTTGGTAGACCGATCATTAGATCCACAGCAAAGATTGGTAACATTGAAGTCAAGGTTTGTAACATCCATAATATGATGATATAGTTTATGCATGAAGATGAAGGTACCAAGTTAAGCATTTGTACTGTCACATCGTTGGCATGTGGCTCTTATGCTTATGTGGTGTTGACATTTGGACAGGTTTTGTTTAGATATTGTAGAGTTGTTATTGGAATGTTTGAATTAAATGAAATTGCTACTTATACTACTCAAAAGAAGTGGGGCAGTCAGGTAGCCATGTGGTTAAAGCGTTCGCTCATCACGCTGCAGACCCGGGTTTGATTCCAGACAAGGGTACAATGTGTAAAGCCCATTTCTGGTGTCCCTTGCCTTGATATTGCTGGAATATAGCTAAAAGCGTCATAAAACCAAACTTCCTCACTCAAAAGAAGTTTAAAAACACCTGATTCTTTTATATTGCTATGGTTAATATCATAGCATGACAGATTAACTATAGTAATATGAAAGAATTGGGTGTTTGTTTGGAAAACAATACAATATACAAATAGACATTACTAAGTACCTCTGATATGTTAATGTAACAAATGTGTTATTCTGTACAATTTCACTGGAAAACACCGTTCAATTTATTTGGGGTTCACTGTTCCTTATTTCAAGGGATTCGTTTCATTAACAAGACTTTGTGATTATTTGGCTTTAATCCATTTTAAGATTAGTTTCTACATACCATCCCCATGGGGATGTGGCGTTGAATAGGTCCCCAGCAACCTTTGCTGGTTGCTGGTCACAAGAGGTGACTTTATAGATTGGGTGAACAGGCTTGTTGACCAGTTTGATGAGGTCATTCCAGACAGTGTGGATCGATGCGCACTGTATCAATCACTAGAACGTCTAGTACAGACTTGATTATTTACAGGCCGTCGTCATAAAGCTGAGATATTGCTGAGTGCGGCGATAAACAACACGCTCACGCATACTCGCCAAGCCTTTTGTGTCCCGGTTCATCTGACAATGCAAAATCAACTCACTTACAATGTGAATTGCATTGACTAAAAAGACATTTTTATTTTCATGACTTTTTCAGGATTTGATGGTAGGAGATGAAGCCAGTGCCTTGCGGTCGATGTTGGAGGTGAATTACCCCATGGAGAATGGTGTTGTTCGAAACTGGGATGATATGATTCATTTATATGACTATACCTTTGGTAAGGAGAAACTAAACCTGAACACCAAAGATTGTCGCATCTTGTTGACGGAACCTCCAATGAATCCAATGAAGAATAGAGAAAAAATGATAGAAGTAAGTGATTTAGCATGTTATGTTATTGTAAGGGATGCTGTAACAATGTGTTTTCTATGCAGTCGGCTTCTTTCAAAGATGTAAGCGTAATGGTTGCTATGTTGAAAAAGGGCCTGTATATTTGTGAACTTTTCAGAATGACTGAATATTACACTGTTTTCCCATTTTTGAAATGAAAAACTTCAGCATTGAGTTGGCTACTTTTTATTGGTTTCTTGGACTACTAGTTATCTTAAAATATAGCTTTGGCTCTTAAATTCTTAGTCATGTAATAGATTATCCTTGTTAATTAGTATATATATATATATACTGTATATTGCTGTGTATAAGGCGACCCCACGTATAAGACGACCCCCCTGTACACGCCTTAAAAATCAACCCAAAATCCTATACTCCGTGTATAAGGCGACCGGGAATGAAACACATCACAAGTCTGACTGATATAGAAGATTTAACGTGCGCTTTCCGACTGATGCGTATCAAAGCTGAAGCACATCACAAGTGCGCACACAAACCTTATATATGCAATAAAAATATTTTTATCTTGCCCTTTTTTTTTTCTACAATAATAGGTCGCGTGTGTAACTCCAGCACACGTCGCCATTTTGTGTTTACACGGTACGACACCAAATTGGTGCCCGTAAAATAAAATTCATTTATGAAGTAATAACATATAAGAGACAATGGTGAGTAATTTAATCGCCAATTAACTATGTTGTAACTAACTAGGCTTATGTTTGCTTCACATTCAGCGTGTTTATTCCACAATCACTTGTACACACCGTCTCCAACACTTGTTAATACAACTGTAAAAACAGCGGAAATTGATTTCAGCTTCACCGGTTATCACATGTTAGGTCACATGTGCAATATGCAAATGCTTACCGGTACTTCCGGCTCTCTGCTCATGGATGTTGATTGTTTTACCATGTCGGGTGGTTTGACAATCTGCATCGAGGCGAGGGTCATTTCAACTTTATTTGCAGAAATTATTAAACTTTATTCAAGGAAAAGAGATACAAATCATGTTTATGTATGGAAATAGTTATTGGAACAGTTATTTAGGACGAAATGCGAAGTTTTATTGTCAAATGCTGGGCTGGCTATCGGACGCCGGTTGACATCGCCAGTGGAAAAAAATGTGAGATCTTCGACTCCGTGTATAAGACGACCCCCCTTCTTAGCCCCCTCATTTTAGGTACGAAAAACTCGCCTTATACACAGCGATATACGGTATATATAGTTTTATTTGAGGACAGAAGAAAGAAAAATAGTCACAATAAGATTCACTGACACACAATTGTATTTGATCGTCCACCAACTTTTCTGTTGTAACATTCTTGGAATATCCCAAACTTGATAACCATGATTTATTTACATAGAGAATTAATTTTCGCTTCTTAGAAACACCTGATAGTTATGCATTAGACGATATGATGCCATGTGCTTTCTTTCTTCCTTAGTGTTAGGACCCAAACAACTGTGAATAAGACTTTGATGTTGTTTTCAGACAATGTTCGAGAGGTACCAGTTTCACAGCGTGCATATAGCAATCCAGGCTGTGTTGACACTGTATGCACAAGGTAAGTTCTTATTCCATTGCGTCTAAAGCGCCGCAATTCACTACGGTGACTTCCATCCCTTGGGCATGCCATAAACCCGTGATTGTGGGTTCGAATCCCAGTTTGCCCCCATTATGTTTCTATGTTTCTCATCACCATACCCGTGCTAATGGGTTTGACCAAAGAGGTAAACGTGTGAGACCTGAATTACTTCAGGCTTTCCTCCCAAATCCACCTGTCACATGCAGTGATATAGCTTGAATGCTGCTTAAGGCAGCATTAAACCCAACTGACTCCCTAACTCCCTCATATTCCACATTCTAACAAGACTTTAATAGGCATTTAGAGGTTGGAAGAACATAAAGACATGCAACTTTAACGAATGACAACTACTTTATTGTACGAAGGGCATTTCAGGGCAACTTCTTGTCCTTCATCAGGTGAATACTGAGTAGGCATATTGAATCAATATAGATATATCTATTCATGCTGATATATTTACCGTGAAGATGAGGGTTAGAATAGATCTTCAGCAGCCCATGCTTGCCATAAAAGACGACTATGCTTGTAAGAGGCAACTAACAGGATCGGGTGGTCAGGCCTGCTGACTTGGTTGATGCATATCTTTGTATCCCAAATGCGTAGATTGATGCTGATGTCAATCACTGGATGGTCTGCTCCAGACTCAATTATTTACAGTCCGCCTTCATATTGCAGACTGCTGCTGCGTTAAACAACAAACACAATCACACTAGGGATTTGCTCTTGCATTAATCATTTTCTACTGTGATACATGATTAATACTCTGCAAAGCCGTGTAAAATCCAGCTCCCTTGTTCTTTCATACGTTTCAGGGTTAAGTTTGATCTGTAGTGAGTCTCACCACTTTTTCAAACATGGACATTTTGCATAGGTTATATGCCCATGTTGGCAATATACTGTTGCCGGTGTTGGTTAAGGTTTGAATGTGATGAAAAAAAGACATTGGAGACTTAAAACCCTTGCCTGTAAGGATGACCTCTGTCGCTCAGGATATTCTCTGACTGCAGCAACCTCTAAGAAGTACTGAACAGGCCCCCTTGACATTATCCATTAAGGAAGAACATTCTCTGATTTGTTTAGATACGAATGAATGAATGATTTACTGAAACTTAGATTATATCCAACTTGTCACAGAGATATAAATTATGGATTGGAATGTCATGTTGTAGTTTAACTTCCTTGTACCATGTGTACATAAAACTGGTTGAAAAGGCAATTTGATATTACTAGGTTTTCGTTATTGATTCAGTCTGGATAGTCCTTGAATAGGAGACCACTTGAGAAGTGTTGTGACTGCAGGGCTCAATTTAGCTGTATAAAACATGCACTCAGTTATTCACCATGCTAACACCCAAGCTTAAAATCTACACATGTACTTTAGATATTTTTTATTTGATTTGTATCCTCATGTGGAATTAAAAACTTGTAAACACTGATCTGTCATCATGCTGACAGTTTAACACAATTGCCCTTTAATCAAAGAACAACTTCAGAATAGTTACATGTTCCATTGTGTGTGAAAGTCTTTCTTCCACGCATTATCAGGAGAAGTGACGACATTTTTCCTTAATGTACCATGTTAGGGCCTGTAAGGATGACATCTTTAGCTCAGGACATTCTCTGACTGCAGCAACCTCTAAGAAGTACTGAACAGGCACACACTCCATTATTTTTACATTGATGTTGGGAAGAAATTGACTGTGTCTTCTTTAGGCAACTATGCTTGTCGTAAGAGGCGACTAATGGGATTGGGTGGTCAGACTTGCTGATTTGGTTGATGCATGTCATCGTTCCCAAATGCGCAGATCGATGCTCATGATAGTAATCACTGGATTGTCTGGTCCAGACTTGATTATTTACGGACCGCCGTCATATTGCTGGAATATTGCTGAGTGCGGCGTTAAACAACAAACTGACCAACCAAATCAAATGGGGATTGGGTGTGAGGGGTACTTGGACAGGGAACAGCTTGGGCTGTCAGCTGTACCCTTGCACATTTGCTTTACAGTTTTTAGGGAGTGGTTCTGGTGTCCCCTGCCGTGATATTGCTGGAATATTGCTAAAGGCGGCGTAAAACGATATTCACTCACTCACTCACTTTTAGGGAGTGGTGGGGCGGTCGGGTAGCCTTGTGGTTAAAGCATTCGCTCGTTATGCCGAAGACCTGGGTTCGATTCCCGACATGGGTACAATGTGTGAAGCCCATTTCTCGTGTCCCCTGCCCTGATATTGCTGGAATATTGCTAAAAGCACTCATTTTAGGGAGTGGTTTGAAGCATAGTAGAGTCATCTTCATTTCAGAGAGTTTAATACCAGGGGATCTCATTTGAGACAAACACTAGTATTTCAACTTAACCAAAGACCTGTACAACAGTTACCTTATCTACAAAGCTAGTAGAAACTCTCCAGCTGTGAACCACCTCTTATGCATCAATACATGTACCAGTGAATCTGCCCTGATAATATTTCTCGGTCAGGACCATACCCATGTGTATGGGTTCCACCAATGTGGTAAATGTTTAGAACTGCATCACTTCAGGCTTACATCCCACATCAAGGCGACATGCTGTTATTCTGAAATATTGTTATAAGTAGCTTTAAACCCAAATCCCACTCACTCACAAGTTTCTTTACATAGTTTGACTTTATGGAGTGCTAAAGCCTGTGAGGATGACCTCTCGCTCAGTACAATCTCTGACTGCAGCAACCTCTAAGAAGTACTGAACAGGCACCTTGTCCTTGATGTTATTCTTTAAGGAAGAAAATTCTTTGACATGTTGGATATGTAAAAATTAATGATTTACGTCATGTTGTCTTTAACTTCCTTGTACATAAAACTGGGTGAAAAAGGCAATTTGATGTTTTAGTTCATGGTACTCAAATGATTGTGATGCTCTTTGCAAAGTAAAGCCCGTTTTATTACTATATAGATGTTGATTATCGATTAGATCGTCTTGACTGGTCATCGCCATTTTGTTTGAAGCAAATGCAAGTGATATGAGAGGTGGAATTTGATTGGTCAATAGGATGGGCCTTACTCATAACGATCAGGCACAAAATTCCAACATAGTTCGGCAAGGGTTGAAACTGGACTTTATAGTCAGTTAACACCCTTGCCATGGGAAGATGGGATTGTCCTTGAATATGGGACCACTTGAGCAATATCTTGGCTGTATCCTGGCATATTTTCTTCACAGTACGTTAGAGAGTGTTTTTGAAAAACTGTAGGTTACTCCATGGAGTGTGATCTTTCCTTCAAATCTTGTTCCTTTATGTATCATATTATGGCCTGTAAGGATGACACCTCGAGCTCAGGACAATTTCTGACTGCAGCAACCTCTAAGAAGTACTGAACAGGCACATACTTAAAGGAAGTAAAGTGAAAAAAATGATGGCAAATTCTTTTGCGAATTTTTCGTTTGGGGTATCCTTTCATTTGTTTTTTTGTTGTCTTTTTTATGCTATTTCTGGTTTTCAAATTTAATTTTGGTCAAGCTTTTGTGATTAAGTTTGCTCTAAAGTATGAAAATCTGTCAAGTTGTTATGTTGACTTTACTTGCACTTTGTTAGAGACTGTACCCTGGTTTGGGGGAATTGTGTGAGTGATGTTTCCTTACCTTGTATCGGTCATTCCAGGTTTGTTGACGGGTGTGGTGGTGGACTCTGGAGATGGTGTCACACACATCTGCCCCGTGTACGAGGGTTTCGCTCTTCCACATCTCACCAGGCGCTTGGACATCGCTGGGCGAGACATCACTAAATATCTCATCAAGGTTGGTGCAGTTTTTTATGTTTCAGCGTCATTAACCCTTAGCATGCCTAGTACTCGGTCTCATTTAACATACTTACGTAAAGACAAAATCTCAGATATAGGAAAATACAGCTTTGAAAAATAGCTTACTTTTGACAATATATTGTTTTTATCCCCAGTTTGCCTGTCACTGGCACTAACATAGCCCTGATCATGCTACATATTACATGCAGAGCTCCAGATAATTTTTTGAGCAATAGAGTTTTTACTCCATGGTTTCTATTTTAATTGGGTTATTAGATTTTTCATTGGGTAACCCAATTTTTTCACTCATCTATTCATCACTCTATTGGGTTTTTCCCAAAATAAGGGAGCATTTTAAGATTAAAAAAAAAATGAAATAATGTTTTAGATGTATATAACTGTTCTTAATATATAGGCTTGACTCGGAAAGTAAATGAGCTCGTAATTGTGTTTTGGAAATTAGCTCCTTTGTACGTATCCTGAAAAAGCTTCATTGGGTATTTACGCGAGCTGTTTTTATACATTTGAGTTTTTCATTTAATGCATGCATTTCTGAATGCAAGTTAATTTAATGTAGTTGGATTTTGAATATTTTTGGGGGGTATTTTGCGCAAATACGCTGCTATTCTGTAGCTCTGTACATGAACAAAGTATTGCATGGAAATCTCTGTTAGAATGGGTCCTCTTTTCTTGTCTTAAGAGGTGACTAAATGAATCATAATTGTTGCTCATTATGTCAATACCAGTATTTCACAGGGACTTATCTAGACCTGCTTAGAAACTGATATTCACCAGCAAATCTGAAGTAAATGTCTGTAAAAATGTCCATAGTCATGTTATACGTAACCAATAACTTAAACATGTTAAACCAAGTTTATGGCTTTGTAAATAAAACCTGTATTTCTCTGATAACAGGACCAATAAAGTAGAAGAGGATTTAATGCTTAGTTTTATGTTATTCCATTGAATGCAATCTCAAAAAATATTGTTAAAATAGGCCAACCTCTGAATTAAGGAAATTTGAACTTTATAAACTCCAAATTTTGAACAAGATGTTTCTTTCTCCCAATTTGCCTGCTAGGAGCACTTAGTTTACAATATTTGATAAATCCCTGTTATAGATTATTTACAAGCTGGTGTCATATTGCTGATTGTTGTGTTAGACAAGAAACACAACTTGAGGATACAGAGATGCTCGTTGCTCTAGTATTGGGTCATGTGTTTCAGCTGCTGCTGCTGCGAGGGTATGCCTTCAACCATTCCGCTGACTTTGAAACAGTACGAATGATGAAGGAACAGCTATGCTATGTTGCCTATGATATAGAACAAGAACAAAAACTTGCCTTAGAAACAACAGTCCTAGTAGAACCATATGAGGTAAGACTTGCTTGGATTGTTTTGTTTGTTTGTGGTCTTGGTGATAATAAACAGTGTTTGAAATTAAGGGGATCTGGGGTCCTTGAGGTTTGCTGCTAAAGTATAACAATCTGGGGACTCCCTAAATCTTTATATACTACTAAAAAAGAGTAAAGGATCATTTCCATATTACTTTATTATACCCCCTACAAAATGTCAGGGGTATATAGTTATACAAAGGTTCCGTCCGTCCGAAAACTTTGTCCTCGCGATTTCTCTTAAACTATTCAGTGGATACATCTCAAACTTAGTACATATAATCTGTGTCATATGGAGGGGTGCAGTCAAAAGTAAAATTGTTTTTATTAATTTTCCATTTTTTTAATGAATTTTTCAAACCCTAACCCTATCCTAGCTATTTAATTTGAAACAACTGACACACACTAGGCGGGTCGGGGGTATTAGTGAGCCACGCTCACTTTTTTTCTTGTTTAATCTGTCATGCCATGACAGATTAACTATAGTCAAATGAAAAATTGGGTGTTTTGTAACTTCTTTTGAGTATTATATTTCAGTATTGTGTTTATAACATGTATAACAGGACCCTTGCTTGATATTTAACACTGCTAAGGATTAAGTATTTGGGTTCCAGGTTAACCTGCTTGGTGTCAACAGGCAGGCCACATGTTGCACAGTTTCATTATGTCATAGCATTGTTCACCTCTCAAGCCCAGCTTTAGTTGGGAGAGGTCATGTCCTTATTTGGAACAAAACTCAGTGATTGAAGAAGTTATGAATAGAAATGTTATTTAGATAAATGTACATGCCAAAATTCAGTCAGTTTTGACGATGCCAATATACATTATTTTTCGGCCCATGGAGCTTACAGCATGTCCATTTAAATTTGTTGGTCACCTGACTGAAAGTGCCGATTTGTGCATCCATGTATGAGTTGCGTGTGTAAGGGATGCAGGAAGTCGTGTCTGGCGAGACCTTGGTGTAGCAGTAACAGGGAAGTGAAGACCTCGTTTGCTTTCACTGTACCCAGTGGAGCATGAGGAAATATGTATAATGTATGTCTGTCAACAGCTGTTTAGGTTTAGGTTCGAGGGACTAGGCTTCTGTACTTCCGTTAGTTGATGTTTCACGATGATAGCAGGGCCTCGTTACAGCCTCAGTCAAAGGATGCAGGAAGTAAATTGCCTGATTTTCCTGTTGCAAAAGCACAGTGTGTGTGTGTGTGTGTGTGTGTGTGTGTGTGTGTGTGTGTGTGTGTGTGTGTGTGTGTGTGTGAGAGTGAGTGAGTGAGTGAGTGAGTGAGTGAGTGAGTGAGTGAGTGTGTGTGTGTGTGTGTGTGTGTGTGTGTGTGTGTGTGTGTGTGTGTGTGTAAGTGTTACCTAAAATGGGTGGTGAAAAAAATATACAGTCCTAAAAACAATTCTTTTCTCCCCCCCCCCCCTTTTCAAATAATAAATAACCACTCCCCTAGCTTAGTATGTCCTTAAGAACTATTGGGAATTGTCTCTTGTCCTCTTTTACAGAAGATTGTACATGTTATTACATGGACCATCATCAGATTAGCTGACTCGATCAAACATTTTCCTAAACTAGTGGCTGAAGTTGCAGACTGGGTCATACAATATTGTTTTAAGCTTCTTTTGAAAAGCTGTTAATGAGTCTGAATGTTTTGCATCGGTAATCTGGTCATCCCAGCGTTTTCTGCCCCTGCTTAGTCAAGGAGTAACTCTGCATGACAGGTATTAAATTCTGTTGTGTGTTTAGCCTGTAAGGATGACCTCTGTCGCTCAGGACATTCTATGACTGCAGCAACCTCTAAGAAGTACTGAACAGGCACTCTTGACTTTGTCCTTTAAGGAAGAAAAATTCTGTTTCACTTGTTAGGATATGTAAAGAAATGTTTTATGAATACTTGGGATATTTCAATCTTGTCACTAAAATCAAAATAATGGATTTTGTATTTAACTTCCTTGCACTTAAAAACTGGTTGAAAAAGGCAATTGGATGAGTTTTAGTTGTTGATTGTGTATGGAGAGTCCTTGAATAGGGGACCACTTGAGAAATGTCTTGGCTGTATCCTGGCATATTTCTTTTACAAAACGCTAAGGTAGTGTTTTGAAGTACTGTAGATTACTGTAGGAGTTGGATCTTTCTTCCAGAGGTACCATCATATGTATCACTGCTAAACACCATTCCCTTATTCACCATGCTATCTCTCTCAAGGTTAAAACATACACAAGTCCTTAAGATATTTTTTATTCCGTTGGTACCCCCACATGTTGAATGAAATATTTTTAGGCTGTGTCATCATGCTAACAGTATTGAACATTTGCCCTTCAACCAAAGACAAACATCAGTTTACGTTCAATTACCATGGGACAAGTTTCATTTTTCTGATTTTAAGTCAGCTAGTGAAGATCAGGGTTAGAATAGGCCTTCAGCAACCAACGCTTGCTGTAAAAGGCGACCTTGCTTGTCATAATAGGCAACTAACGGGATCGGATGGTCAGGCTCACTGACTTGGTTGAGGCATGTCATTGTGTATATCCCAATTAAGTAATGTCAGTCACTGGATTGTCTAGTCCAGACTCTATTATTTACAGCTTGCCATCATTTAGCTGGAATATTGTTGAGTGCAGCGTTAAACAAACGAACAGATTGTAAGTCTTTCTCCTATATGTTGTTCCTAGACATTCCCTATTAGTTGGCCTGTAAGGATGACCTCTGTCGCTCAGTACAATCTCTGACTGCAGCAACCTCTAAGAAGTACTGAACAGGCACATAGTCCTTGACAGTATCCATTAAGGGAAGAAATTTCATATTGGTTGTTTGACAATTAAAATAAGTGACTGCGTATTGCATGGATAGAAAGGTTTTCAATATTAAGCATGAAACTTTAGTGATCCTTGTCATGGCCCTAATGTTTAAAGTCAAAGACTTGATTCAACAAAATGATCTTAGCGCTATGACTGCTGTAAGTCTGTTAAAGTAAGGGAGTTACGATCATCTTAGCGCTGTGACTGCTGTAAGTCTATGTTAAAGTAAGGGAGTTACCATCATCTTAGTGCCATGACTGCTGTAAGTCTATGTTAAAGTAAGGGAGTTACCATCATCTTAGTGCCATGACTGCTGTAAGTCTATGTTAAAGTAAGGGAGTTACCATCATCTTAGTGCCATGACTGCTGTAAGTCTATGTTAAAGTAAGGGAGTTACGATCATCTTAGCGCTATGACTGCTGTAAGTCTATGTTAAAGTAAGAGAGTTACGATCATCTTAGCGCTATGACTGCTGTAAGTCTATGTTAAAGTAAGGGAGTTACGATCATCTTAGCGGTATGACTGCTGTAAGTCTATGTTAAAGTAAGAGAGTTATGATCATCTTAGTGCTAAAATTGCATTGTGGAACTAGAACCACGTTTCCCCTTAATGTATTCGACGTTATAAGCGCCCAGGGTGCTCTCAAAACTAGGGGACCCTTATAAGAATATAATTTTCGTGAGAGAAAAAACAGAGTTGAAAGAGCGTAAATTTCGTGGTTTATGCTAACAGCCTGAAATGATACAAAAGAAATGTTATGTTTTTTCAGGAAATTAATTGCCCATAATTAAGGGTGCATATTACACATGAGTGCGTATTATACACGAATAAATAAGTCTTGTGTACATTGATCAATCAGAAGGGGTCTCATTGGGATTGTTCACTTACTATTCAATATATTAGCAAATATGGGCGCTTATTTGAGTGGGGCGGTTATTACGTCGAATACGGTAATTTTAAACACTGCTTCAATCCTTGAATTTAGCCACTAGAATGAATCCTGAGCGAAGTAAAATTCTGTTCTGTCTAGTAAGCTCAGCTAATAAGTCGACATGATAACACTAAAATGTATTTAGAATAATCCTATGGACCAAGTTGCTGATAGTAGACTCAAACGTTTTTTGGCACAGACTGTTGCTTTAACAGCTGAAGTTGTGTTCTTCAGCTACCTGATGGTCGAATAATTAAAGTGGGAGGAGAGAGGTTTGGAGCTGCTGAAGCGTTGTTCCAGCCCCACTTGATCAACGTGGAGAACGTGGGTGTAGCTGAGTTACTCTTCAACACCATCAATGCAGCAGACATTGACACACGCCCCGAGTTCTACAAACACATCGTCCTCTCCGGAGGATCCACTATGTACCCAGGTCTTCCAAGTCGACTCGAGAGAGAAATCAAACAGCTGTACTTGGAGAGGGTTCTTAAAGGAGATGTAGACAAGTTATCCGTAAGTTGAAGAAGAGTGGTGTTGGGGTGTCACAAAATGCCTACCTAACATAATGATGCATTTCAACAGTTGTGTGTTGAACTTACATGTTTGGTAAATTTTGCCGCATTCTTATTGTCTGATGTAATCAGATTTATCATTTTGTTCTTTGGCAGGTTGAAACGTTATGCTAACACAAGTAGTAATATGGCTTTTGCAAGACTTTGTAAATATTAAATGTTGCTGTTTTCAATCATGAATTTATACTTGAGTAGGCTTGTCATGAATCATATTGTCAGTTGTACATTTGTGATGCATAGATGTTTTGAGTAAAAATGTATATAAGTTTGTTTTTAGTACATCTTAAGATTATTGATTCATCTGTAGTGGGCAAAATATGTTAAAACTGGACATTTATGGTGTGGAAAACATCATATATCAGGAAATGTTTCTAAAGTATGCAGATTCATAAAAAGGTATATGGGAATCACAGATTCTCTCATGATTGATGGGGGCGTGGTTAACGCTGCTCAGGTGACAGTGTGAGAAAGTTTAACTTTTCATTTCCAGAAATTCAAGATCAGGATAGAAGATCCGCCCCGGAGGAAGCACATGGTATTCTTGGGAGGCTCGGTTCTGGCCGACATCATGCGGGATAAGAACGACTTCTGGTTATCTAGGCAGGAATATGAAGAACAGGGACTCAAGGTGCTTGATAAACTTCTCAAACCGACGAAGAGTTAGCTCCCTTTGACCACATCACAAACAGTAGACCAACTTGTATTTTCCTCCACTGTCAACCTTGAGTAACGTCAGCGTACGTTGATTTAAGTCTCATTTCTTCAGTCTTATTAGCTGCATTTACCATTAAGCTTGGGCACTGTATCCTAATTGAAGTAACAAAACACTATTGAAATGAACAAAATGAATCCAATCCAATTTCCTATTGAAGCTACCCGCTTTTTATTCTGCAATGTTTGATTAATTTAATTCATGCCGGTTTCTTGTTTTGTTAGCTTCTGCAACAATTCAATAATGTATCAGTGAGGTTTGGATGGATTTGACACCAATGAACAAAGGCTAGTGATATCAATGGTGTCTAAGACTAGGATTTGCCATTATTTAAAATGCTATGATTCTGTGCTTAAGTGATTCGACATGATTATGTTGCTTGTGCACAAACTAACAAGTTTTGTATAATCAATACAAAAGTGCTGTATGTGTTTTGTCCATAAGAATATATTTTTATTACCTAAAGTGTATAGACTTCATTTATCATTTAGTTAATGTTGAACTTATTTTTTCTGTACAGTATGCGTCTGGTATGTTATTTTGTTATGGAAGTTGTTTGGTCTTGAATCCAGTTCAATACTGCCGGAGATAACTGATTATGCTGCGCAGGCGCAAAGTCAAAAGTCCCTCAAATTATCAACTACTTTGGCCTTATATCAGTTTATATGAATTGTGACTATTCAATACTTCATCTTTTGAGTTATTAATCATGGGATAGATGAATATTATGGAGAAACAGCCTTGGTATTGAAGGTGTTCACTACAAATATTTAATTGAGATTGAGCTCATTCAACTAGTGGTTTGAAAAAAATGACTTTCATAGCAAATGCTTAATTTCCTGGTTAGAACAAGAAAGAAAAGACCAAGAATTGCGTGGTTCAACGCAATCCTCGATTAACTTGATATGTATGAGCGTAACAGTTTGATGTGAAGAGTTGCATCTTTTAGGTGCACCAGAATCCATGATTGTGGGTTTGAATCCCAGATTCAACCCGATTATATTTCTTGGTTTGTCAGCACCATACTCGTGCTGGTGGGTTCCTCCTACATCAAGCTGATATGCCATGATACTCTGAAATACTGTCCAAAGTGTCGTTAATAAAACTCACTCATTCCATTCAAGGCCAGTGGGGGTAGCTCGGTAGTTGGTGTGTTTGCTATGTTTGCAAAACCCTGGGTTCAGATCTTGGTATTAATACAAAGTGGGAAAGAAATTCATTGTGTCCATCTGCCTACATCTTGGGTCAGTAATGAATGTGTCATGTTATGGGTGTGCTATCATGACATCAGGTAGTGATACGAAACGATTCATATGTAATACCAAAATGTGGTGGAGTGTACCCTGAAAAGTATGTATATACAGGGGGTCTCAAGTAAAAAGAAGAAACTCAAAGATGTTTAGATTGTCTCTGGCCGTTCCCATTGACGGTGGAATCCAGCAAATATAAATTCATTACTTCACAACCTACTATCGAGGTAACTATTGTATTGTGGGTATCATTGCTTCGCGATTCACTAAAGTATATTGCCCTGTGTCTTATGCCATACAAAAAGGAATATACGGTAAAACATGATTTGTGAAGTAATAAACAAAGGTCTTAAGCCATCAGTGGTATATTTGTATATAGGTTACATTTGGTTGGGTCGTTAATCCCCTATAATAAGTATTTTGATATGGCATCACATTGTGAACTGGGTATCGAGATATGTATCACTTTGTGAGCTTGGTATCAAGATAAGAGGCACGGGTGGCCCAGTCGTCTAAGGGGCCACGATTCGCTGTGCAGAGTTGTGTCCCTTGGGCATGCCAGCAACCTATGATTGTGGGTTCGAATCCCGGTTCACCCCAATTATGTTTCTAGGTTTGTCAGCACCATACCTGAGCTGTGGGTTTCACCGAAGTGGTAAATGTCTGAGACCTGCATCACTTCTGGCTTTCCTCCCACATTAAGCTGACACGCTGCGATATATCTGGAATACTGTTAAAAGCGGCGTTAAACACAACACTCTCACTCACACACTGGTATCAAAATCTGTATCACATTGTGAACTTAGTATCAAGATCTGTTTCACATTGTGAACTTGGTTATCAAGATATGTATCACATTGTGAACTTGGTTATCAAGATATGTATCACATTGTGAACTTGGTATCAAGATATGTATCACATTGCAACAAAGTGTTACGTTGCAGCCCTAAACATCCAGTGTATCATATATCCATTCTGTTGTTTATAAGCACCATGGACCCATTTTGTCTCCAGATGTTTTCCTGAGTATTCAACGAAGGGATATCCTTATAATATAAGGCATTCTCATTTGTACAGAAGGCTGCACACAAAATGAGCCAAGTATTGCTGCTTGTTTCATTTGTTGATTTTAGCGTCATGTCATTCTAACTGCACTCAAAGTAGGGATATGATGGCGAAGGGATCCATGGTATTTATTAATATAGAATGGAGATGCAATACCCAGGATAATCAAGGCTGCAAACACTTCATCCCTACTACAATGTTGCTATTTTGCGAAAAGAGGCCAAACCTACTCACTCACTCATCCAATAGGAAATTGCTATGCAGAAAGTCTCAATCATGCTTCTCTCCAGTATTTGACGATTCAAAACCAGTTTACCAAGATATTGATGAAAGTACTACAACTGGGAAACAGTGGTCGTGAATGTGTTGACGTTGCCTCGATGATTCCTTCAGATTGTACATAGAACTGATCCTATACATCATTCAGGGATCAATTTTATATACTTTGTGCTACATGCCAATATGTAGTATCCTGTCACATATGTACCATACATTGAATATGCAATAAAACATTTAATCTTTCATTTCTTGTTTTTCTTTTTTTCTGTCTTGGCACCTGATTTTTGTACAACAGGTCAATTAAATGTGATCGCTATTTCTAGATCATTTGTGAAGTGTTGATTAATTTGCATTTGAACTGAAACTAGTATTTCTTGAGTTATTTATATGCAATTATATTTCCTCAATCTCACTCTCGGGGGTGGTCGGTTGGGTAGCCTAGTGGTTGAAGCGTTCGCTTGTCATGCCGAAGACCTGGGTTCGATTTCCGACATGGGTACAATGTGTGAAGCCCATTTCTGGTGTCCCCCAGCCATGATATTGCTGGAATATTGCTAAAAGCGGCGAAAAACCATACTCACTCCATCTCACACACACTTATGGCAGATGTAAGAGACTCCATATTTGAGGATTTTGGGGGATTTTTCTTGACATGATTGGATGATGTTGAGGGTGAAGGTCACTCAGTATGAACAAGATAATTCAGACTGGTACCGCTTCTTTGGTCAAGTGGATAGAACATCTGCCAGGAGAGCAGAGGTAGTGGTTCGATCCCCTGGCAGTGTCAAACCAAAAGATGTTAAAAGATGGTACTTGTTGCCCTGCCTAGCCCTTGGCATTAGGGAATAAAACAAGGACTGGGAGGCTAGGCATTAGTATACTGTGTCTGAGTGGTGTATCCATGTTAAACTGTGGCTTGGGATCTGTGGTATAGCACTGTAGTCCGGACTAGTTCAAACCGCCACACACACATACGCACGCACATCGCTAAACATTTATGTGCAATAATCTTGGACACAATGTTAACCCCATTCACCTCGCCTACAAAAACAGTCAGTGTCTGTTAAAGTAACTCCATGATTGTGAGCTTCTAAACATGAATAGAGCCAGGATCCAGTGATAATCCGGCAAGATTATCCCTGATCATGATGAACTTGATTTGTCAGCACAGTACCCACGTGTTTCACGAAGTTGCTAACATGTCTTCGACTTGCATCACTCTGGACTCATCTAAACTGCTGTTCAAAGCATTCTCAAAGTCACCTATCTCCCTCAACATTTTAGGAAATAAGTCTATTCTTTATTATTTGTAAAGAATTGTGATAAATAAAACGCAATATGTATATGGAGAAAATATAGGTAAGAGCTTGAAGGTTGTATGCATGTTTATGTGTGTGTGCCTGCGGTCCTCCGCATGCATAGATTAGGTTCCACACTAGTGAGTGAGTATGGTTTTACGCCGCTTTTAGCAATATTCGAGCAATATCACAGCGGGGGACACCAGAAATGGGCTCCACACATTGTACCCGTGTCGGGAATCGAACCTGGGTCTTCAGCGAACGCTTTAACCACTAGGCTACCCGACCGCCCCGGTTCCACACTAGCATGAAGGGCATCAATAATAGAGAACATCTATTAAAGGTTGTCTTTCTGTAATAACAGCAAGGATATGCCATGTTGCAAGTGTCAGTTTGGTAGCCTTGTTATGTCTCTTGCACGCACGCACGTGAAGGGATGGGAGACATTGTTTTTGGCTCGGTTCCTCTTTACTCAGGCGTGAACCACCTGATTTGATCCATAACTTGAAGCCGTTCATGTTTTTCAACGAAACTTCACATATACATTCTTCATCAGTTTAACTGGTGCCTTTTGTTATTTAAAAGTTTTTCAAAATTATATTTTTTTCTGTTATCCATGGAAACAATTTAGACTTTGTCTCAAACAAGGGAAGGGTTTGTTTGAGTATGAAATTGCTGATATTACCAACATGAGAACTAGGTGTTGACCAATCTTTATGTTCTTGGCATATTATCGCTGATGTATTGGCCAGTTTGTATGTTCCTGGCATATTACCGGGTATCACTGATATTGCCAACATTGGTACTATGTATTGGCCAGTTTGTATGTTCTTGGCATATTACCGGGTTTCACTGATATTGCCAACATTGGTACTATGTATTGGCCAGTTTGTATGTTCTTGGCATATTACCGGGTTTCACTGATATTGCCAACATTGGTACTATGTATTGGCCAGTTTGTATGTTCTTGGCATATTACCGGGTTTCACTGATATTGCCAACATTGGTACTATGTATTGGCCAGTTTGTATGTTCCTAGCATATTACTGGGTTTCACTGATATTGCCAACATTGGTACTATGTATTGGCCAGTTTGTATGTTCTTGGCATATTACCGGGTATCACTGATATTGCCAACATTGGTACTATGTATTGGCCAGTTTGTATGTTCTTGGCATATTACCGGGTTTCACTGATATTGCCAACATTGGTACTATGTATTGGCCAGTTTGTATGTTCCTAGCATATTACTGGGTTTCACTGATATTGCCAACATTGGTACTATGTATTGGCCAGTTTGTATGTTCTTGGCATATTACCGGGTATCACTGATATTGCCAACATTGGTACTATGTATTGGCCAGTTTGTACGTTTCTCACTCACCCTGATGATCGATAGGAAGTTGATTTCATTCTCTCCACAGATCCATGTTTTTTTTTATTCAGTTGACAGACAACAAAATCCAATGTAACTTTAATAACTTTATTTCTACATTTCTGCAAGTGTCAGTTTGGAGCTGATCACTTGTAGAGACCAAATACATGATGTCTCCCAGAGAATGGTGCTTCATAAACAGGAATCAACATCAGCAAATGCCAACAGGGCATTAACCCCTGCAAAGTCAACATCAGCAAATGTCAACAGGGCATTAACCCCTGCAAAGTCAACATCAGCAAATGTCAAAAGAAGTTAACCCCTGAACAGCTAACATCAGCGAATGTTGTGGGTTTCGCCCTTCGTATCTGTACAAGTTCCAACAGATGTTGGATGTAATTTCCTATAAGTTCTACAGTATACACAGCTGCAGATTGACATAGATCCAGAACATACTGGCAGCACAAGCATTCGGCTAAAATATAGGATAAATAGACAATGATCGTATGTAATATACACGTGGTATGTACCACACACAGCTGGGTAGCACTCTGGTTCGTCTCCAATCAGAGACTGGGTTATTTATTTGGCACGGGTTCTCTCCCTTGTTTTGCAACTCGAGCTCAAGGAGAATGAAATAACAAGTGGCACTTTCCCCTTGGTAAATACAGGTGAACGGGTGTGTTGTAACAATACTTCTCTTGGTCAATATTGGAGGAAAACACCAGAACCAAATGTCAAAAAATATTTCAAACTTCTATCCGAGATGCATCCACTGTCGATACAGTTTCTACAATCTTGCTAATAATGTTTTGTTACGATGGAACAAAATGACAACAGGTGACATATTTAAGGGGACCAATTTGTCCTGCTGTTACAAACCAAATGGGACCCGATTCTCAGAAGTTATCGACTGTTCTTGCAATATTGAAACCATCGCCCAAAGAACAACTTGAAACCAACTAAAAAAACAAATTATGGTATTTGTATAGATAGTATAAAAAATCAAATTTGTCAAACAATTTGCCGTACTTGTACAACTGTGTGATTTTATGCTTTTGCTTTGTATCAAGTTCCGCCTCCAGTATCTAGTGAAAGTTAAAGCATAAAGTATTTATCCTTGTTGAGACTGTTGGAGAATAGGCACCTTTGATGGAAGTACATTAAAACATCCCTTATTCCCAAGGGGTTATTATTTCAAAAATCCAACCGATACCCAAGATCCACTGATTATTCAGGTACTAATACCAACTATCATTGTTGTAGCTACAGCACCACAATAGAGGCAAATACCTTTCAGAAAATCAATCATACTATATATACTGTCCATTACACAATGTTGATTAAGCAAAGGCACCTCTCTGCTTCAATCTGATTGGGCAACTGAATTTTTCTGCTCCAATCTGATTGGGCAATTTCAAAGCGAAACAGCATTCAGTGGATTTCAAGTATTTCTGAATAACAGAAATCGAAACACGCTGGGAATAAGGGGCGTATACATCAACTGAACACAATTCTGATGACATCCTTGACGGTGTTTCAGCTGACCAAACCCATGTTTCTGTATTTTGTACATGAAAATATAACATTCGATTGTTAATCTGAAAATATTTCAAATGCTACTGTTGAAATGTAAACATTTCCTTCTACATAGGAAATCACACAAACTCTTCTATCAGCAGCAGGGGGTCCACCAACCGTAAAGCGGAACTCCATCACAATTTTCCTCCTATTTTGTGCAATCTCTGCATATCATTGGTTGATATTTCATGAAACACGTGCATGATATGACAGCTATGCATGCATTCAGACCCTTTCATGAGTGCAGTCTGTCTACCATAGAAAATTACATACAAGATAGGATACATGTTTCAAAATATGGAAAATTGGATTTGTCAATGAGAGCGCAATGTCAAGCAGAGGATTGCACTGACACAAGACTATTCGCTGGCGTATATACAAAGTAGTAATATAAGAAAGCATAAACCAAAACAAGGTAGTTCCATTACGTTCCCCTTCCCATGATGCAATTGACTGCAATTTTAACGGTTCATGAATAATGGCTAGAAATATATACATTCCAAACACTTTTAAAACTGAAGAATTTCATAAAGAGAAATACCATGGAGTTTTTTCTAATGAATAATTTTGTTCTAAAAGCTATATCTAATCGCTTTACATGGAATCAAATTCCATAACAGTATCTGTATGGGAATTGGTAGCTGGGGGGTAGGTGATAAAATGCCATTAGAAAACAGAGTTACACATGCTCTTATGGCACTTGTCAATGGTTAAAGTTATCCAATATCCTGTATCATGAGAAAAAGATGAGAGTAATGATGAAATATATATAGAAATAACAATAAGGTGTCAACAAATGGAATTGGGTTTGATACCCCTCTCTACATGACCCATCAGGCATCTCTGCCCATATATCTCGTTGAATTAAGTTCATGTTTCTCCTCAGTCTGGGATGTCTGTGTCTGTGAGAAACCTTCCTTGTCAGGTTCCGTTCATCTTCCAGAGGCAAGAGAGATAACTGACTATAAAAGTCCAGTTTCCATCGTTGCCGAACTAGGCTAGCATTATGGAGTTACTTTTTGGCTGGACTAACGAGTCTATGCATAGTCCAATCAAAAACACACAATGAAATCGAAATCCGGTTCGTAAACTTTTGTGCAGATTTCGGTCGATTGCAGGATTTGCAAAGCATGTGCACCACCAACTTGTTGTCAACAGATATTTTTTCAAATCTTTTCATGTTTTTAATCAAGGTGCTGTCATGCGATGCACTTTGCAATGTAAGAGCCGTTTTATCACTATACAGATCTTGATTATCGATCAGATCGTCTTGACTGGGCACCGCCATTTTGTTTGAAACAAATGCAAGTGATACGAGAGGTGGAATCTGATTGGTCCACAGGAGAGGCTTAGAAGGGACATAACTCATAATAACCACTGGTGGCGCTACGATAGAGCCAAGGAATTCCAGCCTCGTTTGGCAAGGGTGGAAAATGGACTTTTAAAGACAGTTAACTCTCTTGCCTCGGGAAGATGGGTACCATTGGACATGACATGCTTACCCTTCTCGCTAACACCTGGTGTCATCACTGATTTTCAGTGATCCATTCATATATTCACAGCTATTTTTTACGTCCAGTGAAATCAGTTTTGTCGGATATTCAAGACTGCTTATTCTCTGGTGTTGAGGTAATATATTTGTGATTTTATACCTGTTGGATTTGCCGGAACCAGATTGGAGTAGCACTCTATTGCTTGTTGTAAGAGGATTGGTTGGTGAGGATTTGGGATTTGACTGATTGCACGTCATCTTGCCCAGATGGCATGGGGGGATGCTCATACTATCAACCACTGGTTTGTCTGACCCAGGTTGACTACTTACAGGCTGCGGTTTTATAGCTGGAATATTGCTGACTGCAGTGTAAAACAACAAATATAAAAAACTGTTGGCTTGCTGCATGTTGAGCCAAACACCAATAGGATTCTAAGTGGTCCTAAAACATCTGCATGGCAATGAGTTCACCATACATATGGTTTGAATTTGCAGAAACTGAGGTCTGAATGATCTTGCTCTCATAATGATCAATACGTTACAGGTTTTTGTATGCTACAATCACCCGTAAACACTGAGCCAATATTTGGTGTAGACGATAAACAGCCAATCGAGTGACAGCCTTGTTCCAGCCAGAGCAAAATGAGAGAGGATCTGACCAATCAGTGCTCATGTAACATTATACAAATGGTTGATCGCTTGAAATAACATGTATTAAGAACAAGTGGGAATAGTTAAATTTAGCTGCCAGACTTTAATAGACCATATGTAATGTGTCTGAATAAGGTTTTATCACCAAGAGGATTGATACACTGGACAAACTTCATGGGCTCACTGTTCTGATGTCCACAATACCCAATGTCCAGAATAATGAGTGTTTTGTATACACAGGTCTAGGTAAACCAGTCAACTGTGGTATACCAAGTGTTCAGTATAGTGCATGTCCCTTATTACCAGGGAGTCTAAGACATTCAGGAGAAACATGACAAGAATTCAAGGAGGATGTACATGCCTCACCCCAATATCTAATGACTAATCTTGCTGCTTATCCAACCTCATTGTGGTTGTCATCAAACTATGGTCATGCTGTAATTGGTCTTGTTACCATGGTTACAGTAGAGAATGATAAAACATGATAAAAGATGAATTCTATGCTGCTATTTCAATGACATAGATCAGCAATGTGAAATACCCTTGTTTTTTGCATGGTGTGAATACATATGGGTCGCATCATCTTTCTCAGGCTTGATACATATATCCAATAAATTAAATATGAAACAAAATATTTTTTATACATAATTTTGTTTAATATTCCTCTTCCACAGCTGTAATTCCAAGCTGCACTATTTCATCAAAAGATGTTTTAAAAAGACCGAACCAAATATATTTCTTATTTTACAGATTATCTTAGTCAGTTGTCAAGGTTTCAAAATAAAATAAAAAACTCTTGAAATAATACTTCTACCAAAAAGATGTTCAGGATCAAACACAATATTTTTTACATATTTTGTTTTACTTTTCAAAAGGTTAGTTCATCTGCAAAAGAAGAAAATAAATTAATCTGCCTCAATGCTGACTTTCAGATTATTATACTGTTTCCTACAACAATGTATATTTTTGGTTCATGGACCTATCAGTGACATTAAATTGCTGAATCAGCTTGTTATTTCATGACACAGCAGTACCACTGTTTTGAAAGGAAGCTGCATATATACATGTTGTTCTGTTCTTAAAGGTTTGAACTTTAATCTGAAGCTTAACATGTTAAAAATACTAACCATATACACATGCCACAGTCAGTAATACTCCAGGTATTTCACAGTGACCTGTAAACAATCTGGACCAGACAAACCAGTGACTGAAAGCATTCAAAACAACCCACCCCATCAGGGCACAATGCCATGCAAATAACCACTTCACTGATCAATTTTGGTATTAACTGTAGAATATAAACATATGATGCCTTAAAGAGATGTTGACAAGGCTAGCGTCAGCACGGGTCTACAGTTGGAGAGTTGGATTTGATCCCAGTAATGCTGTGTTTTGTTGGCCCATGCCAGATTAGAACCTGTGGGTTGAACATAACCTACTTCCCCATCATCTTAAGGAATATAACCTGATTCAAACTATCTGATCACATATTTGTTTTTTTTAGAAGATAACTTCTTTTTTTGAATATTCAACATGATAACCTTCTCAATACATGAATATTTTGTAGTGACAACAGTTAACCTGAGGTGAAATCTTGTGTATGGTTGGTTCATGGAGACATTCTCATAAAAATAAATGTTCAAACTTGATAAATTGTTCCATGTGATATGTATTCCTGTAGACAAAAAAAATAGTTGATGATTTTGGACACACTGTCTTATTTGGGAATAATGTACTGAAATGATTTGATAAATGAATACACATTGGTCATTGGACATAAAAAAATATTGTAAAATATTTATGATGCGTATAACCATATTCTTTAGTGCAGGTTGCAAATAATGAATATTTGAAACAAAGCATTTTTTGAAACAAAACAATTTTATTTGATGACAACTTTAACGTATGGCAAGTCTTAATGATGAAGAGAGGTGCTGATTTTATTAATTCATTCATCTCAAATCTCTGCACCATTCTAATGGTAGAGTTAAGTCAATGGACACTAAAAATTCCAAAATAAAATACAAGTGGAATAGCTTTATACATACATCAATGAGTTATGGATCATGCACACATTAAGAATTCTCATTCTCATCTATATGAAATACATGTATTTCAATCAGCCCTGCAGATGCAGGGTGTCATCAGCAAGATATGCTACACCTGTTGTATTTCTTAACCTCACATATTTACATAAACTTGCAATGACCCTGACCTTGGGTTTTCTTATCATGCATACAGGTCAGGTCAAGGTTACAAGGTCATAACTGGTTTATGGCAATGGTGGCGGAGAGATGGACACATACAGACTGTCTGGGTCATGGTCAGTTCTCAGGTTTTATTTACTGTAGTATTGACAAAATGAACGGATAGTTACTTCTTGCCACAAGTAAAATACCTACCATTTATACTTAACATATAAGGATGCTAATTTCCTCATGATAAATTGAGTATATAATGGTCTGTTTTTGCCGTAGTGTCCTTCATTTCTTTAAGAATATGACCTGAGGACAGGTCGGGCACTCGTTGCTTTTGCCATACCGACCTTGACCATGACAATTTGACATGATAGGTCACAATACCCTTTGCAGTTGTCACAGCAACGGTGACCTTTGTGATCTTTGACCTTCAGAGATTAGAACAAGCACCTGCAGACATGAAAGAGCTGGTTTTTGTATAATGTTATATGGACCTACACATGTACTAATATAACAATGCCTCACGGGTAATGAAAACGCATGATGATACATCATAGTGACAATCCAAACATTAGTACCAGAGCACCCAGTGTGGTTGTCCACACTGATGGCTTCGTGAAAAGCTTGTGGTGAGGCATGCAATTTGAAATAATGGACCCATATTTGGCACTTGAACAACCATCATGTACAAGTCTGGGGGGAAAGCTGATGATGTTGCGGATGAAGACGAAGCTGGGACAGCAGCTGTTGTTGCACAAACACAAGCTGTGATGGGGAGAATAACTTAGTTGCTATTGGTTACAGACAAAAATAGTGACATTTACATGTCAAATGTTTGTCTTGAGATCAGGAAAATATCTTCATCCGATTCATTTCCAAACAATACATGATAAAACGAACATCCCCCTCCTAGCACCACCAGGGTTGTCGGGGACTGACACTCACCAAGCAGCTCCACGCGGAAGTCATGTATCACATATACCCCAGTAATGCAGTTGCCATAGTTACACAATGCTTCTTGCCATCTGTGCCTGTGATGCAGTTGCCATAGTAACACAAGGTTGATTGCCACCCATATAATGAAGTTGCCATAGTTACACAAACTTGTTGCTCTCTGCCACATTTTCACAAAGTTGCTTGCCGCTCCAATAATGCAGTTGCCATAGTTACACAATGTTGAAACAATGCTGCTTTCTGTCTACATAAAACCATCTCGGAAAACAAACTCAAAAACACTTCCTCACTTGTGCATATTGAACATTTTGCTGTTGTGGGACTGTGGTACAGTACTATGGCACTTGCTTCATGCCATGTTGTTTAGTGTTGTTTCAGACGTCCATCAAACAACACTGTGCCATCACAGTACCCACAGTATCATCTGTGTTAGTATCACAGTACTTGCTGGTAGGTCGTCATCTTCCCATCTGTGTGATGTCATGGACATTATCTAGATGTTTCAAGTACTCACTGAATTCGTCTTGCATATCACAGACCATGGAAACACTTCCTCCTTGTACCGTTACCATGTCACCTCCTTGTACCATTACCATGTCACCTGGTACCGTTACCATATCACCTCCTGGTACCATTACCATATCATCTCCTGGTACCGTTACCATATCACCTTCTGGAACTGTTACCATATCATCTCCTGGTACCGTTACCATGTCACCTCCTGGTACCGTTACCATATCACCTCCTGGTACCATTACCATGTCACCTCCTGGAACCGTTACCATGTCACCTCCTGGTACCGTTACCATATCACCTCCTGGAACCGTTACCATATCACCTCCAGGTACCGTTACAGTATTACATCATCACTGCGAATCACTGATGTACCATGATCACATACCATCAATATTAGAATCCTCATGAGGCAATAGAATTATCATTTCTTGGTACATCTTTCCGTTTCGGGTATCATAATATCAGTGTCATTACTGGCTACCCTGATCATATTCACATTACCATAGGGTACCACTGTCCTGTTAGCCTCTCCCGGTAGGCGACCATTGCACCAGGTCTCCGTGGGACTTGATATAGATGGATGCCGTTACATTTTTCATTTTTGAATTTCATTTTTTGTTGAATGATACATCCGTTATGAACATAAATGGTACACTGACATCTGGTTTGGTACTGTCGTGACATCACAGTACTACATCGGAACCGATTCTCTTTGTAACACTCAAACAAGAAATCTTCCAAAAGAATTTTAAGAACCATTTATGGAACCATCCTGGTTCAGTATTTTGCATCATAAATCAAAGGATACCGTTTCCACATGTTACTGATGGTACCAAGCGGTACTTATCTTAAGGTACTATTTCAGTACCACTGTTCACAGTACCTCACCGTACCACAGTGTTTGAGTACTAGACATGTACACATTATGCATGAAGACAGCTACATTAGCAGAATGTTGACACACCACCATCACCATCACCACCACCAGGCACAGCCGAGACTGAATTTAAGGTGACTTGGCAGCAGACGTATAGCATGCACATTAGACATTCTGCAATGGTCCATGACTTTCATCACACAAGCCATCACACACGTCAGTGTTAGGAGTCCCCATACAGTTTTACACCTTTCTTATTTCTAGCCGTTTTTTGCTCTGAAAACAGCAAAAAAGCAAGGAGTATTAGTCGCAGAGAGAGAACTAATAAGCGCTAAGAGCAACTGGTGTCAAACAGTGCACATGCTATTCACAGCAAAAGCAGAGTCCAGCCAATCACATAGCTTGGCCAGGTTAGCTGGACCAATTGGAAACATCCATTCATTCACAGTGCTGATGTAAGAAGAGAACAGTAAGGAGGCTGGTGATTGGTCAATCAAGCAGAGAGGAAAATATATGGACCAATCAAATCCAAGAATGAGTGTAGTAAGATGTGGAGTGCTTTAAAGCAAATAGGTCAAAAGTGTATGTTTTTTGGCAGGCGGGCGGGCGGACAGGCGTTTGTACAGATGGGCGGGATGGCAGGCAGTGGTGTCGTACACAGCTACAATCAAGTTCCACCGATGCTGAGACTTGGAAGCTTGGGGATAATGGACCTGGTCTGCTGAAGAGATAGAGGATACGGGTGTTAGTTCACCAACTACTGTGCCTGCGCCAAAGGTGCATGTACTTATGTGCAAGGTCAGACCCAGGTTCAAATTATGTTCAGACTAAGTTCAGACCCAAGTTCAAGCCCAGCATTTCTGATTGCCTACGTTATTTCAACCCGACTGAAAGATCGAAACGATGTTTACCATGCAAACACATTGGATTAAAAATTTTAATTTTAATGAAATTTAAACATTTATCATCATTTTCCTCCTTGTTATGATCCATCTCTTTTTGCTTTCATTTCAAGTGCAAATTTGAAACAATAATTCAGCTTGTTTACTTCATCATAAAATAACCATCTCTGATACACATAGAAACTACTCTGTAACTTGTCCTGCATCCTGTGTCTAACCACTTGCATCCCCATACCAGCTGAGGAAAACTTCAAGGGTGACAACCAATGTACTAGAATCATAAATAGAATTCCACATCATGCACTAACTACAACCACTTACTGATCGGCCCCTCAAATGGTCAGGTGAAAGATCAAGACACTTAAATGTATTTTGGATACTCTCGAAGCATGCCAAATGACTTCAAATCGAAAATCTGCATCTTGCGTACTGTATACTATTTAAGTTGTATTTATTGCATCCTGAATACTCTATAAGCAGGCTTTGAATCCCAAATTTTGAAAGTAGGCAGGCACACACGCGGCAAGAGGAACATTTAATTTCCATAATAATCATATCTTGTCATGTCCCAAATCCAACCACCAGTGTCTGGTCCCAACACCACATTATTATAACAACTGATCAGTGCGCACTCAAGTGTAATTTTCAGCTCCCTGAGGAGAATACAACCACAGCTGCCTTAAATTGTATAGATGTTCCTTATATTCAACTGTTGACCTGGGTCTGAACTTGTTGTCTAAGGCTAACAGGGGCCGGGGGTGAAAATCTATTTACAGTAAACACTACCAGTGGTGGGTAAAAGATCTGTTGCATGAAAAAGGTGTATGACATGAACGCAGCTGAAATTCATATTAAATTGTGTTCAGGGCATGGCTTCAAACAGACCGCTGAAAAAAATGCAAACAATCATATTGTTTATAATCACCAACTTTGTCATGATTCTCAGTCTGTAAAACCTTGGTTTGAAATTGTAAGAGTTAGATCCCCTTAATAGCCAGGGGACATAACCCCAATATATCCATGCAGTTTGGGGTTTAATTTGTCTTGTCTATTTTATGGATATTGATGATAATATTTACACACTAAATGAGCTTGCTGTTTTACAGTGAACCTGAGTCAAATCATTTACAAACACTGATGATGTGATCTAATTTAGGAAATGCTACCTCATCACAGGTGGCGTGCTTCTTAACTGAGGTAAAATCACAACAGTGATGTGGATCTCTTTCAGGATCAGTGAGTGAGTGAGTTGGGTTTTAACGCAGCTTTAACAGTATTACAGTTATATCACGGCGTGTCAGCTTAATGTGGGAGGAAAGCCCGAAGTGATGCAGGTCTCAAACGTCTACCACTTCAGTGAAACCCAGGAGAATGGGTATGGTGCTGACAAACCTAGAAACATAATCGGGGTGAACCGGGATTCGAATCCACAATCATAGGTTTCTGGCGTGCCAAAGGGACGCAACTCTGCACAGCAAATCGCAGCGCCTTAGACAACTGGGCCACCCGTGACCCCGAGGTCACATGTGAAGAGACAGACTAACTAAACATCTATTCTGCTGAAAACATGTTCACGTTATATTAATCCCTTAGCAAAAGGCAAGGGTATTGGATGTTATAATTATATTAATACTTCATGGACTTTCAGAATAGTTTAAAACTAATCTAAGACTTATGGCCTTTTGGAAACCATTGAGAATCATGACAGTTGAGAGTTATCTCCCTTGAATCATGAATCAAGGAATGGTGTAAACGTATTAGTTTGTCAAATGTTTTTTATGGCCTTTAAGGTAACCAATGAGAATGATGCTAGGTTAGAGTTATCTCCCTTTTGTCATAAATCAAGGAATGAATTAAAACTACTGGTAATATTTGTTCTGGACAGTGTGATCTATGGCCTTTTCGTTACCAATGAGGATGGTGATGAGAGTTGTCTCCCTTGCTTCATGAATCAAGAGTATTTGTTCAAGTGAGATTAATGGTAACAGTGACTCCGATGGTCGGGGAGAGTTATCTCCCTTCCTTTCTCTTCGGTCTCTGTAAGATGCAAACAATCTGGCCATGCACGTCATCAGCAACAACGCAAGCAACGTTTACAACAACGATTCAAACAACACAAGCAACAGTGTGGTGATGGTGATGCAGGACAAAATTGAGAAGCTCATTGAAGGCATAGGAAAACAATTAAATGTCAGACATCAGTCAAGCGATTATTTCATAGCTAACCTGAATGATCATATTTCTGTTCCTGCTGAAGAACATATCTCCTAAGGTAATCCACATGTTCAAATATGTATATAATAATTCTATACCTGGAGAATTTAACCTGATTTGTCAAGGTAAGCTATTTACATATGTCAGATTACCTAACAACTTTAGTGAAATACGTCCATCATTGAGTGTCAGGAGACATTCGTCTGTACTCATCTTCTTGGAATATTATTCAAATGCTGCTAGAATTTCAAAAGAAATACTCCTTGTGTACTTCACAACCTGATACAAACACCCATTGTATTTTATTCAACATGGAGAGGTATTCAATTCTACTAACATGAGAACAGCAGACATATTCACAGCAAAGTAGATCTCTAGTTATAAAAATGTCTATTCAAAAATATGTTCTACTCCAAGAGAATGGAAACACTTCAACTGTGCCCCAAATACAATATTGGTTCTACTGCAAACAGAGTGGATCCAGTGCCTATTTCAAAATTCTAAATGCCAATAGACTGCAGGTATATCTGTAAACAAATCTATTTCAAAGGGAGTGAATACATATTTATCGGACATTTCTATCTCGAACTTACTCTTATTGTCAGTCACCTGGATATGCAAGTTTTGTTGTCAGCCTTTTCATCATCATTTTCATTGTAAATATTGATCTGTGTGCTTACCATCTCCAAAAATAACTACCATTGCGCGAATAAAAATTCACCTATATATAATTTTTGCTATGTGCTTCCGAATACCAGGGAACTATCCTTTTTCTATATATTCATCTATTCCAAAATTAATATTTTTCAACGAAATCAAAACATACAGAATGTGTAGAAACAAAACAACTTTAATTTGTATCATCTGCAGAATATCACACAAATGTGGTCACTCTACAGCAAAAATATAATATTAATACACAAATAAATAGCATAATGAATACAGGCATAATATTTTGATAAAGAAACATAAACACATTCATAGAATAACAAAATTCTTGTAATATAATACACAAAAAAATGCTGTTAAGGAAATAAAGATTGAGAAAATCTATTTCAAATAACAAAAAGTAAAAGTTCAAAACAAAAAAACTGGTAAACTTTGTGTAAACATAAGTTTATGTGTATCTGTGTTTTAATGTTGGGACTTTACAAATGCTATATTCTATATAATGTTGTTGTCAACACATGTCCTATTGAAAACACAGAAAGTCTGACATGTAAACTAAACTAAAAGAAAGGTTCTTATATTATTATAAACATAATGGAAACAAACATAATATATTTTGCTTTCCAAATATTAATTTTCTCAATCTATATTTGAAAACGTATCAATGTGGGAACTTGGCATAACATTTTAATAAAACATGAGCTTCCCAAAACAGTAGCTAGAAAACAGAAGGACAAAAAGGGTGGTTTTTAATGACACCAAACGAAGTTATAACAAGCAGTTTGCAAATAGACAATGGTGAAATTAATATCAAGATGCGTTTAAAGACTTGTGCAAAAACTGAAAAAAAAGGTCATGGAAATAGTACCTGTATTTAAATTTCAACATATTAAATATGAACTGATAACTACCTGTCAGTATCTGGGACGTCATCAATTACTAGGACAATATGCAACATATTCCAAAGGTAATAAAATGAAAACAAACTTAATAAAACTTGCATTTTATCACAAACGATTCTTGATTAATGATTTTTTATTCATTTAACAATAAATATGAAATGATAACAAAGAATTAAATCTTGACTATGAAATATAAAGTGAACTGATGTGAAAGGATTGTGTGGATATGACTATAATACTGCGAGATTATCACATTAACAATGAACATTATAACATAATGAAAACAGTAAATATCATGTAATGAACTCTGTCTTTGCACAAGGAAATTCCAGACTTCCGAAACATGCACATTTAAGAAAAAAGGTCTCAGAATGGTAAACCTGTTGGTTGGACAGATGCTACAAATTGATGATGAAAGCCCAATTTCAAAGTCGAAAATCAAACTCCTACATCCTAGTCTCGCAAGCTACTTTCAACACATGCATCCTCGGTAATATGCTATCATGATCAACAATGGAGCATGACTGAATGTTACTATACTAACAACTATTGATTCTATGTCACATTGGTGTGGACAATCTAGACTATCATATAAGGACACACAATTGATATATTTACAGGAAATATTATCATAATCAAGGAATCGACACTTGGATACCTGATTAGGAAACTATTGGCACGCTTATATATATTACAAATATTTACAATTTAAAACTTAACAATACCCTCACTTGTTGCACCTCCGGTCTGCATGTACAAATCTTCCCCATATTATGAATATATTCTTCAATATATCTTACCAATCATAGACCCTTCCAAAAATGGGCCAATCAAGAGGTTCTTCGTCTATTTAACACCCTCTTAAAATTCATTGTACAGAAAAATCAGTAAACTGACAAAATAAGCTTGTTTACTCAGAGTACAAAGTTACATGTACTGAAATGAACACATTCATTTTTTAGATTCATACCAACATTCCAACTTTTTGATGAATACGGCAAGAATGGTATAATATCTAACACTTTATTAAGAACAAGAATGTCTTTTCAGACGAGGAAGTATACGATTCATGGTCGAGTAGGTCGAAAATCAGAAACTTGAAAATTTACACGTTTTGATTTCAACCAACAGAAAATCTGATAGTGAATATATGCTTAAATTTGCAAACATTCAAACATTAGTACAGATCAATATATTCAGGAAAGTCACGTACATATTCAGAATTTGAATATCAAATTAGCTAAAATGTGACTATTTACAAATGTTTAAGTTCTTGTATTTACACAAATTACAATTTAAACTCATCCTAGACCTATGACGAGAAGGGAATGGCTATTAACACACTTGGTGAGCCTATAGGTCGAGTCAACATGTAGGTCACATGAAAGCCAACATTTAGCTTCTTTATATGCGATATCTTGAAAAAATGTCTGAAGTGAAAAAAGAATTATCTTCCCCAATTCCTGTCTCCCAGAGACTTTAGCAAATCTTAATTTTTGTGGTTTACTAATTTGATTGACAGGTGTAGTAAACTGATACCAAAATGAAATAACTATTACTATCTTTAACAATAGCTTATCAAATGCATTGATTTTAGTCTGGACTGCAAGCTTCTAAAAAAGAACACTTCTCAGAAGTAAATACCGTATTCGATGTAATAAGCGTCCATCTCTAATAAGCGTCCACGGGGATATTTACTAATATATTGGCTAGTGAACAATCCCAATTAGCACCCCTTCCAATTGATCAATGTACACAAGACTTATCTATTCGTGTATAATACGCACTCATGTATTAATATACCTGTCATGTATAATACGCACAGACTTTTCTTCTGTATCATTTCAGTCTGTCAGCATAAACCACAAAATTTACGATTTTTCAACTCTGTTTTTTTCTCTCACTAAAGTATTCTAATAAGAGCCCCCTATTTCTAATTTTGAGAGCACCCTGGACGCTTATTACGTCGAATATGGTACATAGATTACTGTAGAAATACTAAACATGCTCCACTTATTACAATTTATTTTCCCTAATAAACTGACCAATCAAAATCGCTTTTTCCAAAATGAAATAGAACAATATTAGTTTATTATATTAGTTTTTAATCCGACCAATCCCAGCTAATTTAGGTGCACAAATCTGTACACCATTAAATATGTGTGGCCTTTAAGGCCATGGTTATGCCATCTATCTCTTAAAAAATTGACATTTTCAGTGGTCAAAAAAGGGCCCTACCATACCTTGTCCTTAGACGACATGTATATTATTTTTCACCGAGTTAAATCTGTGACCCTGACAATCAGTTTAACGGCTTAGAAGGAATAAGAAGAAAACAACTATTGTTATTTCTTGTCCGTAATGGCTGCTTTTAGGTCCATTCTATTGTTATTATTTTCCAACTAAAATTCCAAGTAATATTAAAAGGCTGGCCATAGGAACAACAAAACCAGGAACAATTTCTTCCAAATCGGTAAAAGAGGAGCCCTCAATTCTTCAAAGTCCCTCGTCTAAGAACCTATTGCTGAGAAATCGAATTTTACAGTTATAAAATATCTTTAAAGACAACAGTTCTGATTATATTATGTTGTGAAGCCAGACTTTTTTATTTCTTAAATAATTTTTTTCAGAAACTTCCTGGTTGGCAGGTGGGGAAAATTAAAAAAGATACCAAAACAATTTCCTCTGTTTTTGAAAAGGTTTGTTTAGCAAGTCTTGCAGTCTTACATGCTGGTATTGTATATTCTTTCTGTTTAAGACGAAAATGCATCTGGCAGGATAAAAACGATTTTCTTTATAGAGTTTTCCCCAATATTTTAGGGTCAGAGAAAGAAAAGTATTGCCTGAGAAGCTAAATGTCTTGTTTCTGGCGGCTGCAGTGAAACAGAAGTGTGAATGAGCAACAACAGTAGTGGACAATGGTCAGTGCTTAAACCCAGCTGACCAGGTGCTGGGGAGAACGGGAAGAAGTCTTACTTTCTTCCGGGTCCCACTTAAAAATTCCTTGTACATATCGGAGCGTAGGTAGCGGCTGTAGCTGTCGCTCTTCATCAGCTTGAATATATGGTCCTGCAACAGACAACGATGATGGCAGGTCAGTGAGTGAGCGTGTGTGAGTCAGTATTAATGCTGCTTGAACAGTATTCCAGTTACATCACAGTGTGTCAGCATAATGTGGGAGGCAGGTCTCAGATATCTACCACTTTGGTGAAACCCAGAAGCAAGGGTATGGTGCTGACAAACCTAAAAACATAATCGGGGCGAACTGGCATTCGAACCCATGATCATAGTTTTCTGTCGTGCCCAAGGGAGGCAACTCTGTACAGCCAATTGTGGTGCCTAAGACGACTGTGCCACCCATGGCCCTGGTCAGTGAATGTTTGTTTTTTTGTTTGGTTGTTGTTTAACGCCACACTCAGCAATATTGCAGCTATATGACGATGGACTGTAAATAATTGAGTCTGGACCAGACAATCCACTGATTTACATCATGAGCATCGATCCACGCAATTCGGATACGATGACATGCATCAACCAAGTCAGCAAGTCTGACCACCTGATCCCGTTAGTCGCCTCTTACGACAAGCATAGTTGCCTTTTACGGCAAGCATGGGTTGCTGAAGACTTATTCTACCCCGGATCTTCATGGGTTGGTCAGTGAATGAGTTATGATGGTGAGTTGTAGTTTTGGAGATGTTCCTGAACCATCACATAAATCTGTTATCAATGGATAGTGTTATGGATGCGATTAACAAATCCGATGAAACTTGGTATCACGATTGATAAGTATGCAAATGAGGTCTTCTATCAGGAACTACTTTCAATGAACTCTTTACATAGATGTGATGCCAACTTGCTAAAAATCGTTGCATATAAATAACACTGACAACACCCCTTCAATTTTCATAAGAAATCTCTGCCAATCTCTTATATGATTCCGACCATATTATGAGCATGTGTTTATGAATCACTATAAAAAAGTAACATTTCCATAAGTTCTTTTAGGCTTCCAGATGTGCGAGTGCTGATGTAAACAAACACAGCTGCAAGTCATTTGGAACTATATATGACATGGAGGGGGGGGGGTCACCTGGACTTTGTAATCAAAAGTTATTTCAAAAGTTACACATTAGTTGCTGGGGATTTGGAACTATCCCTCCCCAAACTCACCTGAGCTTCATCGAAGCAGAATCGTGTGGGACTATTTTCTACCCTGCGTCTGACCAGCTCCATCACCTGGCAGTCGACATTCACGGGGTTGTGTGCACCGGGCGCCAAGAACTCACTGGAACAGACAACACAATATATAGTTCACAGGAGTAGAAAGATCCTACAAAAACCCCTTCTTATCCAGACGGTAACTTCCCAGTGAAGTGGCCCTTACTACCAAATAATGAAGTTATTCCTCTTTGTATACAGTAATAATCAAGAAGGATGGGTTTCCAGATCAACAATGTCTAGGCTAAGAAGGTTCTGCTGCCTCAAGATTTGGTTTGTTGGTTTGTTGTTTAACGCCGCACTCAACCAAGCCTGACCACCCGATCACGTTAGTCGCCTTTTACGACAAGCATAGTCGCCTTTCACGGCAAGTATGGGTTGCTGAAGATCTATTCTACCCCGGAGATCTATTCTACCCAAGCATCTTACATTTAGACTGGGTGGACAAATTTCGCAGTGTTCACCAAACATTACCATCCATGAAGGCTTGTCTGACTTTCACGCAGAGAGGTAATGTATCGACTAAAAGATCTGATTGTATTAAGATTGTAGTCATCTCGGAGTTCACTGGTTCTGCTTGCAACAAGAGGAGGTGATCCGGCCAATGTGTGCTCCTATTATATTGGGTGACCAGGAGGAGGCAGAACTGTGCTTAATAAACTTTGACACAACATTCAACAGAAATGGCTATCTGAAAAGACATGTATTAACACTAGCAGGGGAAAACTGGGTACAAAGTGTTCCTGTTAGTTTAGTTTAGAAACACATTCACCTCCAGAGTGAGGCTAAATAATCTCAAACCTACCTAAACATTTCGTGCACCTTCTTATTCACCTCCCGCATCGGAAGTCCCTTTAATTCCTGACATGCCAGCCAGAATCTGTAACACAATCACATACACATGACCTACTGACAACAAGGTCTTACCACCACCTTAAAATTGGTGGAATCATGAAAAAATTATTTCAATTCCTAAACTACTGTCATGTTTTGGAAGTCTCAAAGCAGAAAATCTGTCACAAAAGACTAACCTCTCAAATGTGCAGCTATGTTCAATTACTGAAAGCACTACCGTATTCAATGTATTGAATGCCCTAAATGCCTCCTCCATATCAAAACTTGTCCAGCATCCTATATTTGGTAATACATAGTTCCTTCCTGTCAGATGTTAGATTATTTTCAAATCATATGCAGTATAAATTGTTTGATAGTTATTACTTAGAAGTTGAGATGACAAGGTAGACACAATTTTATGGATAACAACTTCTTTAATACTGTAAAAAGCGATGTTCTAGTATAGGTCCTTATACCGTTGTCAAGCCAACGGCTTGTTTGGCTTGACAACGGTATAAGGATCTATACAGGAACATCGCTTTTTACAGTATTAAAGAAGTTGTTATCCATAAAATTGTGTCTACATTGTCATATGCAGTGTGTGTGTGTGTGTGTGTGTGTGTGTGTGTGTGTGTGTGTGTGTGTGTGTGTGTGTGTGTGTGTGTGTGTGTGTGTGTGTGTGTGTGTGTTCGTGTGCGTGTGCGTGTGCGTGCTAGTTCGGACGAATGCAGATTTTATAGTGCTGGCCCACTGAGATACCTTGCCGCAGTTTAACACTCAGACACAGTATAGACACATGACTTTCCGCTTTCCGGACGGATGCTCTATCCACTAAACCACGGAGGCGGTCTTTCTCTACGAATAACTGTAAGTAGTGCTTATTGTCTATCTGATGTCAGTTGTTTTGTTTGTTTGTTGTTTTATGCAATTACTCCAATATTCCAGCTACATGACAGCGGTCTGGACCAGACAATCAAGTGATTGACATCTGGAGCATCGATCCACGCAATTGGGATACAATGACAATCAACCAAGTCAGCTAGCCTGACCACCCGATCCCATTTGTCGCTTCTTACGTCAAGCAGAGTCGTCTATTATGGCAAGCATGGGTTGCTGAAGACCTATTCTACCCCAGATCTTCACGGGTCCTGATGTAGGTAGTATTTATAGTCTGTTTGAGTAAGTAGGACTTAGTTAATATGAAGTAAGTACAACTGATAGTCTACTTGAGGTAAGTAGTACTCAGAGTAAAAGGTCAGCAGTTATGCCCCACAAATTGCAGATAACACTCAGAAGACACACATATACTTACTTTAAATTTTCACCACTAAATTCTTTGTCTAAAAATTTGCTGAACTGGTCCCTCCCTGCTGTGTCATTGAGTAGTTCCTCCACGGAGAACGCCCACCTCTTGACTCGGCGTTGCGGGATGTCACGACCGCTTCTGTCAATAGGAACGGCACTTGAAGGAAGCAAACAAGTTTGGGACTCCCAGAAGCAGCCTCTATTATTGCTTGCACAATTTCTTTCCAATCAGATTTGGTTTCCATGACAATCATATGTGGAAACTACTTGTGCCATTTCTCCCATGTATGCAGATAATAGGATGAAACATGTTGGCAAGCTAGTGTGCGGTTGGGTCTAAGATATATTCCAATTTTGCACATACTTTGATTTTTATTGCTTGCAATAACAGCATTTACACTTTGGTGACACTAACATCCATGCCAATTGTCAATATATTTCGAGAAAAAAAGGCTGATTAATATTCATTAATGGTTTCGAAAATATGGCCGCCATGTTTAACATGGGCACAAAATCCGGTAAGCAAATTAAAAAACCCCGAAACAACATAACTAAGATCATTTACGAAAATTTTCAACTAGGCCTTGTAGTTTCAAGTGAAATGTAGAAAATACAGCGACACTAGAAAAAAGATAGGTATTTGAAAGTCAAAGAGTCGTAAAGGTATCAAAAATCAAACTATGTCATGAAAGATATATTATTTCGAAAAGCATATCAAATTTCATAATGATACATGCATAAACTGCTGAATAAAGGTCCAAATGACAATTTCAGTTTGGTTGCCATCTATAAAATCGGATTGGAATTCTGTGAGCACTTTTTACACACATCATGGCTGGGACAATTCATTCCAAGGTGCTATGACATAAGCTCATGCACATCAAACGTATTCCATCAATTCCTAACTTTATTCAAAACTCCACTGATGACATCATACAGTACTGAAAGTCTGTTGCAATGCAGTGATATCATAGTTTAAAGAATGTTGCATGACTACTCCCATTCATTTTGGCCGTAAGCAATACATGTTGTAAAATGGGAATTAAATCCATCTCGTCTGATATATATAACACCATATCTTTAACCATAAATCTATGACTCTCGGTTCACTGCTTCATATCGGCAATATATTGACTGACGTTATGTCGTTAAAACACTCGCATACACGACAGTTGAAGTTGCGCAGTGATTACAAAATCCCACCAGCCAAATGTCAGCTAAATCAGCACTGGTCTTGGCCTTTGGGGTACTTGAAATATTTTTCGATTATGACTTAACAAACAAGGTTTAACTCTCTTTCTTTGTTTTTTATCACTGCACTCAGCAACATGTATATGAAGGCAGCTGGTAAATAATCAAGTCTGCACCAGACAATCCACAAAGTTGCCTGTTAGGCCTAGTTCACTGGCAACCTGTTTGCAGCAGTAATCCCATGGGTTCACTGTCATTAACAGCAGATACATTCAGGTTCCCACATCATGTTGGTTGGTTGGTTTGTTGTTTAACGCCACACTCAGCGATATTCCAGCTATATGACGGCGGTCTGTAAGTAATCGAGTCTGGACCAGACAATCCAGTGATTAATATCATGAGCATCGATCCACACAATTGGGATTGATGACATGCATCAACCAAGTCAGCGAGCCGCACCACCCGATCCTGTTAGTCGCCTTTTACGACAAGCATTGTCACCTTTTACGGCAAGCATGGGTTGCTGAAGACCTATTCTACCCCGGAATCTTCACGGGTCCCAATATCATGTATTTTATCATAAGGAAAATGAACTTACAATGATTTTTCTGTCTCCCAGAATTCCATGTTATCTGAGATCCAGGGGTTGGTTGGATCGGGGCTGGTTATGAAGGCATCGTATTCTGCGTATTGCTCATAGTAAGCCATGTAACTGAAACAGGACAATGAAAGATGCTTTAAACATTTAAAGTTAAATTGAACAAATTCTGTTCTACAGTTTATCAGTCCAGTTTTCCACGACTACTCTATATTCTCTGTAAATAATAGAATAATTTTCACAAGACAGATTGTACGGGCCTTTCTCAAAAACATATTCACAGATTAAATATTTAGTCTTATGATTACGTTATTACAACGTCAAAATATTGAGGAGTTATCTCCCATTGATAAAAATCCCAATGTGTTCAATAATTGTGAAAGACTGTTTCCATCAATATTTTATTCTTTGTGGACGATACCTTTCTGTGACTTTTGATATTTTCACTCTTCTTTTCTCTAATTTCCTTCGTAGAGCATCAATCTGAAAAAGAGAAGCATCAACATTTAAAATCACAATATTCAGCTCATGGACTCAAAATGGAGAAATATACAAAACTTAACAGCTAATTATTCTAATTATTTATCACATCTTACAGTCAAGAAAATATAACCTTTAAAGCCTCTAATGGTGAACATGATTGAAATCTGAATTAAAGTTTTATTTTGAAGAGAGAGAGAAAATAATTATCTGAGATGCTTGATGGGTTGAGCACACAGCACTTACCTCCCTTCGTATGGAGTCTGTGGGGTTATGAAGATCAGCCTCAGAGACACTGGGGCTTATTCTGCCCCCAGGGACTGCGTAATTAGGCTGCAGAGAAACACGATTTGTAGTCCTCATATCCTTAACAGGCAGAAAAACACTTAACACTTTAGGAACATCTTAGCATGAACATGGTAATCAAACATTGCAGAAACATCCTAGGAAAATATGAACAAGATTATCAACATTATCAACAAAATACATTTGTTTTTTTGTCTGTTCAACACGCCATTCTCAGCAACATTTCAGCTATATGATGGCGGTCTGAAAATAATCGAGTCTGGACAGGAGATCAACATTTAAGAAACATCTTAGGAAAATATGGTAAACATTTAACAGAAAATCCTGCAAGAATATATCAATTTAGCAAATAGATGAAATTGACATTTTATTCTGGTATTATATATTGTAACTTGCCATTTATAAGTCTTAATATAATATATGCATACCTTAAAATAATATAGAAGGAACATATTCTTAAAGGGGTACTAGGTTCAGACAAATTTGTAGTCCTGATTCATTCAAGTAATTTGAACTCTGTGTGTGTGTGTGTGTGTGTGTGTGTTTTCGAGGGGCACACACACTAAAATGGGCTGTGTGTGTTCAAGGTACACCTAGAATGTGCCAATATGCCACTGAGGGTACCACTTGTAAGATGTGGGGTGGTGGGCTGGGGTTGTGTGGGGTCGCACACCCGTGCACACCCCTTGTGCTCCCTGGCTCTGCCAGTGCTTGTAACACATTTATCTGTACCGCTATCTGCACCTTCGTGTGTCACACAACCTCCTCCCAAGCCTCTGCAGGCAGTCTGACGGAGCAGCAGAGGCTGGAGAAATGGCAAGAGTATTCCTGGGGCAGTGCAAGCTGACCCCTCCGCACACTCCTGAGACGAGCCTCCGGGGAGGCCATTGCTGCCATGAACCTCTGATCCAGCGACGTAGGCTCTTTGTCCTGGGGGCATGGCTTACCCTCAATGATAGGATGATAGGATCACTGTCGGGGGGGGGGGGGGGGGGGGGGGGGGGGGGGGGGGGGAGAGAGAGAGAGGGAGGGAGGGGAGGAGAAGGAGGAGGAGAGAGGATGAGAGATGTAGCTTACCATCAATGACAGGCTTACTGTCTGGGAGGATACAGCTTACCATCAAAGATAGGCTTCCTGTCTGGGGGATATGGCTTACCATCAATAATGGTCTTCCTGTCTTGGAATATATAGCTTACCATCAATGACAGGCTTACTGTCTGGGAGGATATAGCTTACCATCAAAGATAGGCTCCCTGTCTGGGGATATGGCTTACCATCAATAATAGTCTGCCTGTCTTGGAAGATTTGGCTTACCATCAATGACAGGCTCATTGTCTGGAGGATATAGCTTACCCTCAATGACAGGATCCCTGTCTCGAGGGGGATATGGCTTACCATCAATGATAGGCTGACCATCAAAGACAGGCTAACCATCAAAGATAGGCTCTCTGTCCGGGGGGATATGGCTGACCATCAAAGATAGGCTGACCATCAAAGACAGGCTAACCATCAAAGATAGGCTCTCTGTCCGGGGTGATATGGCTGACCATCAAAGATAGGTTGACCATCAAAGACAGGCTGACCATCAAAGATAGGCTCTCTGCCTGGGGGGATATGGCTGACCGTCAAAGATAGGCTCTCTGTCTGGGGGGATATGGCTGACCATCAAAGATAGGTTGACCATCAAAGATAGGCTGACCATCAAAGACAGGCTGACATTCAAAGATAGGCTGACCATCAAAGATAGGTTGACCATCAAAGATAGGCTTACCATCAATGATAGGCTAACCATCAAAGATAGGCTCTCTGCCTGGGGGGATATGGCTGACCATCAAAGATAGGCTGACCATCAAAGACAGGCTAACCATCAAAGATAGGCTCTCTGCCTGGGGGGATATGGCTGACCATCAAAGATAGGCTGACCATCAAAGATAGGCTGACCATCAAAGATAGGCTAACCATCAAAGATAGGCTGACCATCAAAGACAGGCTCTCTGTCTCGAGGGGGATATGGCTTACCATCAATGATAGGCTAACCATCAAAGATAGGCTCTCTGCCTGGGGGGATATGGCTGACCATCAAAGATAGGCTGACCATCAAAGACAGGCTAACCATCAAAGATAGGCTCTCTGCCTGGGGGGATATGGCTGACCATCAAAGATAGGCTGACCATCAAAGATAGGCTAACCATCAATGATAGGCTGACCATCAAAGATAGGCTCTCTGTCTGGGGGATATGGCTGACCATCAAAGATAGGCTGACCATCAAAGACAGGCTCTCTGTCTCGAGGGGGATATGGCTTACCATCAATGATAGGCTAACCATCAAAGATAGGCTCTCTGCCTGGGGGGATATGGCTGACCATCAAAGATAGGCTCCCCGTCTTGGGGGATATGGCTGACCATCAAAGATAGGCTGACCATCAAAGATAGGCTCCCCGTCTTGGGGGATATGGCTGACCATCAAAGACAGGCTAACCATCAAAGATAAGCGCTCTGCCTGGGGGGATATGGCTGACCATCAAAGATAGGCTCTCTGTCTGGGGGGACATGGCGTACCACCACTACTGTTGGAGTTACATCCTTGACGAGAGGAGGGAGATGGCTACTACACCTGACTGATCGGGAGAGGGAGGGGGCAATTAGTGGGGGCCTATTCCAACCTGTAATCCAAACTTGGTAACTGGTATTTGAAACAACTAAAGTAGGATGAGTAAATGTAAAATATACTGCCATGTATATGTGTATTTGTATGTGTCTACAAGTGTTTGCAAAAAGTAAGAAAAGTTAATACGTACCAGGCTTCCTACTCTTGTGATCTTCGAGTGGCGGTTCATGCGGCAAGCCTTTTTAATGTCCACCTCTGTCGTATTGACACAACCAGGCTGAAACACATATGTTTCTTACAATCAGAAGAATTTCCACTTTTTGTTTAATGCCGCACTCAGCACTCCTACAGCTATATGAGCAAGTTTTACGCTGCCTTCAGCACTATTCCAGCAATATCATGGCGGGTGGACACAAGAAATGGGCTGCACACATTGTACCCATGTGGGGAATCAAACTTGAGCCTGCAGTGTGATGAGCGAATGCTTTAACCACTTGGCCACCCCACTGCCCCTCCAGCTAATTGATGGGCGGCTTGTTATCGAATCAAATCGAGCAGCATCCCACGCCATCAGGGTAAACCCAACTCCCTATGGAGTGAACATAAATGTATACTCTCCCAAAATAGAAATGCACAGGTGGTAACAATATTTTCAAAAACAAATGTATTCCATTGTGGACTGTCAAATAAAAAATAAAATCTAAATTTTCTTTTTGACTGATACAGTGTCACAAAACAGTTGTATTGTCTTTGATAGAGTTAATTTCGATGACAATTGCATAACTTGTTTTCTTAGGGAATAGAAAAGCAGTTTTCACATGCCAGTCATGGAATTTGTGACAGGTATCTTTGGCAATGTATTCTACCCTGGCGATACTGGAAGAGTATCATGTCTTTTAACTGACACATCATTTTTACAAATCACAGAGTAAACAAAGACAATTTTGCCATGATTAATACCGTATTCGATGTAATAGAAATTAGAAATAGGAGGCTCTTATTGGAATAGTATTTTGGCGGGAAAAAAACAGGGTTGAAAGATAGTAAATTCTGTGGTTTATGCTGACAGCCTGAAATGTTGATATACGACAGATATATTTTTCCAGAATTTAATTGCCCATAATTAAGGTGCATATAACTCACGAGTGCGTATTATAAGCGAATAGAGAAGTCTTGTGTACATTGATCAATCAGAAGGGGTACTAATTAGGATTGTTCACTAGCCAATATATTAGCAAATATTGCCATGGGCGCTTATTAGAGAGGAGCGCTAATTACGTCGAATACGGTAATAATGTGAGCAAAAGCTATTGGTAGACTTGAAGCTATTCAATCACAAGCATCAGTGGCAAGGCATTTCAATGTTGCCCAGAACAGAATTCTGGACAACATTGACAACGTGGCAGACTGAAGGCTCTATGCACAATTTCATTTAGTATGTGTGACTTCATGTTTACACGGAGCGCCATACAACAACCAGGTGTATCACGGAAAACAACAGTCAGGCTTGACATGAGTGTGTGTATGCTCAACTTGCTCCACACTTAAGTCTGTAGTTTGGTTACAACAATAGATTCTAGGGCTGGGATGGGTAACTCGGGTACCCGGGTCGGGTGGGTATTGTTGGGTGTGCGTCTCTTCCTTAGTTCACAAGGATGGGTTCTAGTGAGGATATTTGTGTACATGTGTAGCGGTCATAAAATTTCCAAGTCCTGTGACGGGATTAGAACCACGGACCTTCTGATCACAGGTTGGACGCCTTGTCCACATGACCAAAGAGGTTAACCCTGTCAGCAAACTGACAAGGTAAGGATGTCATCTGTGGGATGACTCCACGCCCTGCTACACATGCATGTCTTACTCCCTGTTTCCAAATTGGAGTTCAAGATTAAAGGGTATAAATGATCAGAAATAACGCTTCTGTATTTATTCATGCTTGGGATTTTCCAGGGTTTACCCCCGGAATGTGGACGAAGTCCGTCAGTGTTTACGACATATCAAGAATAGTCTCATGCAAAATTCATGAACCTCAAAATGTGTTGTTCATACACTTATGAACGACAGATTCGTGGTCATGTGACAAGCCTCTCATCCGATTGAAAAGTCATATATCGTGTAAACTTCAAATTGAATTTTTTTTCAACTTTACTGTGCAGCACAATATGGGTGACTTACTTATAACTACCGGTATGTAATGTAACGTTGAGTATCGATACATTAACACTGGAAGCAATAGCTGTATCAAAACTTGATGCATCGGGCTATATAGGTGTATTGAGGAATTGTCCCACTGCTAGCCATGTATTCTGCAGAGCTTTCAGAACATTTCCACAGAATCTTTCAACAATCGTTTAAAGTTAAAAATATGAATTAAATAATATGAAACAGGATTTCCTTCAATCTCAGAATTGATCCCTACGTACAAACTCCCTACTTCTGTCATATCCAAGAATTATAATGCAAATATCAGAATGTTAATTTTTTTCATCTATGAAGTACAGAAGTGTATCTAAATTACAGGAAGTGCTGGGAATGCCGGGTCCCTTGCATACACAGCACTATTTCAGACACATTTTCTAACATAGAAATGATAAGGAAATAAGATGCATTAATTTCCCTTTCTAAATTTTCTTGAATGATAAAAACATCTAGCAAACACAAAGGCATGCATGTTACGGAGGCTCTTTCTCAAGTCTTTATCGATGAGCCAATTTGGCCACAGAGCATGTCTGATATTCTCGCCCGGATTACTACGGTTGTACCCAACTATGAATTTCCATTGACAATCAATACTAGGTGATGTGCTAAGCATGCCTACAAAATGCATCTGCCTAAAAAACTGGCATTTTCCTCTTTCATGACGACACAATGATTATTTTGATTAAAGTGCAATTCTGAGTTGCAGGATAATATACTTTCCAATATATACAAGCATCTATACCCAACACTCTTAAAAATTTCCACTGCATCACAAAAGCTGTCTGTAACTCCCTCGTTATAAAGCAAAAGGTTTCTGGTGGGGTTTTTAACCTCTGCAACATTATCCCTCCAAACTACTATTATTTTAAATTTTACTGTCACATATTTATTAAATATACATAAGTACATGAGCATTAGGTAGGAGCTAAATTCTGTGCCTTATAACGAGGAGAATGAGTATCAGTGTAAAGATGAAATCAATGCTTGTAATGTGAACAATGATTTATCAATACTGAGCAAATTAGGATTTGTTTGTTTGTAACAGTATAACAAGATGGCTCCTCAAGTGGCATGGCTGGACACTATCTTCCTGAAGAACTATAACAGGGTTTTCCCACATTCAGCTGGCTGTTCTATAGAAGGGGTCAATAGTACAAGCACTCCTCAGTGTTGGGAAGAGCCTCACTTCTCACCGAAGGCTGTCATTAATTAATTAATGGTAGTAAGTCCTGTCATTTGATATCAAATAAAAACAAGTCACTTTTGACATTCACTCAACCTTGGCTATGACATACAGCAACATAACACATTTGAACATAATGAATACTAGTGATCATGGTGAGAGATTTAAACCCAGGGGACTTGCCATTATCTTTGCAGGGTTGGGATAGGATCGAGATTTTTGTTCATGATATTACAAAAATTACTTTTTTCTGTAAACCTCACCAAATACATTTTTTATACATGCACGTTTAAGCCATTCCGTTCTACATGTTTCTAGAGATTGTTCTTTCTGACTACCAACACTACAAGGACAAAGGATTCTTCTCACTAGGTGTATCGGTTGAACATTCAGATGAGATAAAAAACTTAAACTATATCACGTAATGTTTGCTATCTATTTCATAGCATGACAGAGAAGAGCACAGGTTCTGACATCATCAATTAAAAAAATCATGACTCTAAATTCTCGTTATTTTTATCTTAATTACCGTATTCGACATAATAAGCACCCCGCTCTAATAAGCATTATTTGCTAATATATTGCCTAGTGAACAATCTCAACTTAACACCCCTTCTGATTGATCAAGGAACACAAGACTTATTTATTCGTATATAATACACACTCGTGTGTTATATGCACCCTTAATTACGGGCAATTAAATTCTGGAAAAATATACCTGTTGTATATCAACATTTCAAGCTGTCAGCATAAACCACGAAATATACAATCTTTCAACTCTGTTTTTTTCACCAACATGATATTCTGATAAGAGCCCACTATTTCTAATTTTGAGAGCGCCCTGGGCGGTTATTACTTCAAATTCAGTACTAATGGGTCTAAGTGTGGGATCTGAGTCAGAGGGGAAAATATCACAAAAAATTAAGTTGGCAACAAATTTATGGTCACCCATGACATATAATAATACCAACTAAATATATTGCAAGTGATTCCACGTCATTTGATATTGGCCAACCAAGCTATTACTTTGGCATTGATGCTTGCTAAAACTGAAACAAATTAGGCCACACTCACAAGCGGACTATTGTTCCCTGATTGACTGATAATAAAGTGAGAGGGGTTTATGTTGTACTATTGCACTGATTGATGCCACTGATATCGTAACATTGTCTACAATTTGTTGTACATTCAGGATTAAATAATCAGTCTGTGAAATTATTGCTGAATCATCATTTTATAAGAATGACCTCAACATGTTTTTGTGTTCATTGGGGTACAAATGTTAAAAACCCGATGTGCACATTTTTCATAAGTTTGCTAAAAACATTAATTTATAAAACAGGGCACGGGTGGCCCAGTTGAATAGGGTGCCTCAATTCATTGTGCACATTTGCATCACTTATAGGCATGCCCGAAATCTATGATCATGGGTTTGAATCCCGATTCACCCTGATTATATTTCTAGGATTGGCAGCACCATACCAATGGGTTTCACCAAAAGTGGTAAACATCACCTGCATCACTTTGGACTTTGCTCCCACATCAAGCTGACACGCTGTGATGTAACTGGAATAATGTTCAAAGCAGTGTTCAACAAAACTCACTCACTCAATCTTATTGCAAACAAGGTCGGCTTCAAACAGAGAGAAATGTTTTCTCCCTTATTTGAAGAATCAATCTGCACTTACGACTGGCCTGTGGACATCCCAGAAGGCCCTCTCCTGACTGTCTAGCACCTTGCGCTCCAGCTTATCACGCTTTTTGTCCACTCTGAATAAAAAATAAATCATGGAATACATTAACAAAGTTACACTTCTAAAGTCTATCATTAACATTGCAAGGTGTTACCAATGCATTTCTAGGTCTTAATTACATGACATTTGAAAAGTTGATGTTGTCTCATTGGAATATACACATGGACAAACGTTTTCGTACAACTTACTCCTTATTTTTAAATGTCCCTAGCATCCATGTGCCAAAGGTAAAAATCAACGTTTAACGCCGCACTCAGCAATATTACAGCTATATGACGGTGGTCTGTAAATAATCGAGTCTGGATTAGACAACCCAGTGATTGACTTCATGACATTATCAAGGAAGGGAGTTATCCATGTTATTACTTGTTTTACAAAGAAAAATATCAAGATCATACATAAATAAAAGTGACAAAATGCTTTCCAAATCATAAGTAATCGCTGCTATAACTCTCCCTATTGACAGGGGCGGTCGGGCAGCCTAGTGGTTACAGCGTTTACTCGTCACGCCGAAGACCCAGGTTCGATTTCCCACATGGGTACAATGTGTGAAGCCCATTTCTGGTGTCTCCCGTCATTATATTGCTGGAATATTGCTAAAAGTGGGGTAAAACCGTCACTCACGCTCCCTATTGACCGTTGGTAATAACTTCGGTTTTGGTCCTATAGGGCTAATGAAACATGACAGCAAACCATTCAAAACCTTTTTCTAAAATTAAACATTTTTTCACTCTGACTTTGTCCATGCTAACTTCAAAAACAGAAGATCTTTAACTTTATTGTAACACTTTTACACCATTATGACTGAGAATTCCAAGCTTTATCAACGAGATAGGACCGGCCCAGCCCAACTTGTTGTCTCGACTCACTTGGCCTGTGCTTCGGCTTGCATGAATATAAATTCCCATTTCCTAGAGAACATTTTTTGTAATCGTGCTAAGTTTTCAGCCTCGTAGTCTGCTAGTTCCAGCCTTTGCTTGTTCTGCATCGTTCTCTTGCATAAATAAACAGCTGCAAAAAAAGCAACACTTTAGAGCTAACCCTTGACAATTGTATGAGAAGACTAGTGTCTAAACAAAAATAGTCTTCAAGCCAAAATAAATTCTCCAAATGGGTTGATCATTAATTTCTTCTTCATCCTAAACACTTAGGAGTTTAAGAGAAATACATCAATATTTATAGCAGTCTTACAACAAACATTAGCACAGGTTCACATTCTTTGTTTAAATACTGCTCATTGCATGACAGATTAACTATCGTCATATGAAAAACCTTGGTGTTCCTTAACATCTTTTGAGTAGTACAGTTTAATCATAAATCAAATAATATAGAATGTTCAGGAATAACATTATTTGAAAAGTATGGGAACTATGTTCTCTAAATGGCAGTTATACGATTATGAATTCAACATTTAATGACATGGTAATGGCCATCCTGGATTATCCACTATATAATATCTCCATTCTATTATGGTCAATACCCTTTGCTACAATAGCTTCATTTTAGGAAGAGGAACATGGATGTCCCAGTCATCTCATGTATTGCAATTTACTGTGCAGAGTTGTGTCCCTTAGGCATGCCAGAATCCTATGATTGTGGGTTTGAATTCCAGAATTCCTCATATTGTTTCTTGGTTTGTGAGGATTACATGCAAGTTTGTGGGTTTCACTGAAGTGTAAATATCTAAGGACTTCATCACTTTGGCTTCCTCCGACGCCAATCTGACATGCCGTGTTATAACGGACAAAGGGGAGTTAAAACCAAACTCACTCGCTCGGGAAGTGCCATCTCCACCTCTCTTCTCAGTAACTTCCTCTAAAACTTCTATCACACAAAAGTGAGTGAGTTGGGTTTAACACTGCTTTTAACAGTATTCCAGTTATATCACGGCCTGTCAGCTTAATGTGGGAGGAAAGCCTGAAGTGATGCAGGTTCCAGACGTTTACCACTTCGGTGAAACCCATGAGCATGGGTATGGTGCTGACAAACCTAGAAACATAATTGGGTCGAACTGGGATTCGAACCCACAATCATAGGTTTCTTGCGTGCCCAAGGGACGCAACTCTGCACAGCAAATCGCAGCACCTTAGACGACTGGGTCACCTGTGACCCCTCTATCACACAAAAGCTTTAAATGATTAGTTGGCTATTTTGGGTCTTGTGGACGTCACATTTGGACTTATAACAAACCAAATTGTTAACTACGGTTATAATGAACTCAAATGGACTACTAATTTTGTTCATTGTCCCTGTAGTTCGTTATATATAAATATATACAGCATTTATACAACAAATGTCCGGGTAAAAAAATAAGTTTGTTTTATCTGTTAGTTTGTTATAAGCAAGTTTGTTATAAACATATTTTACTGTATGGTATAATCAAGGTTATTCATCATAATAGAATGGAGATATAATACTTTGGATAATTGAGGTTGGCTTATTTCAGATTTTTGATGATAGTAAACTTTTGAACACTGCTCCACTTAACATCATCAGTATTCTACCATGAATTTGGTAAAATCCTTGATTCTGAATGGCCAATAAGAGGATTCAAATCATAATAACCACCTTGGATTGAAAAAGCTCATCTTACCATAATCAGTATTCTCTGGTTCTCCACAGCGAGAAGGCCAAAAACATGGAGTCTGCAAAATAGATATCATCACACGGATTACTAAAAGAATAACTGATAGAACAACCCAATTAATTACTGATAGCACACTTGTGAATTAGTTCTCTATGATGTCAACAACACAAAAATAAATTTTCATCCATTATAATTTCAAAATAGAGCCATAAGGCCCTGTAGCTCACCTAAATTACAGATGAATGGACAGATGTGCTGATTGCTAAATCTCTCAATCTTGAAACATGGGGCGATAAAAAGGAGCCAAGGGGATTTCTTTATTTTCAGAAATGAAACTGTAAGAATCTAGACTTGCCAACTATTATACATTTGCATGGACTGTATTGGATATATTTGTTTCAGGGTCTGTCGGACAGACAAAGTGTAGTATATACACCTGCATGGAGTGTATTGGATATATTTGTTTCAGGGTCTGATAGACAGACTAAGTGTAGTATATACACTTGCATGGACTGTATTGGATATATTTGTTTCAGGGTCTGATAGACAGACTAAGTGTAGTATATACACTTGCATGGACTGCATTGGATATATTTGTTTCAGGGTCTGTCTGACAGACTAAGTGTAGTATATACACCTGCATGGACTGTATTGGATATATTTGTTTCAGGGTCTGTCTGACAGACTAAGTGTAGTATATACACTTGCATGGACTGTATTGGATATATCTGTTTCAGGGTCTGTCTGACAGACTAAGTGTAGTATATACACCTGCATGGATTGTATTGGATATATCTGTTTCAGGGTCTGTCGGACAGACTAAGTGTAGTATATACACCTGCATGGATTGTATTGGATATATCTGTTTCAGGGTCTGTCGGACAGACTAAGTGTAGTATATACACCTGCATGGACTGTCGGACAGACTAAGTGTAGTACATACACCTGCATGGACTGTATTGGATATATTTGTTTCAGGGTCTGTCGGACAGACTAAGTGTAGTATATACACCTGCATGGACTGTATTGGATATATTTGTTACAGGGTCTGTCGGACAGACTAAGTGTAGTATATACACTTGAGTTGAACATGCTCCTCTCTGTCCTCACCTGAAATCTGTAGTAGGTGTTGTCGCTCTTGACGGAGAGCACATGGTCGTCTATTGGGAAGAAGTAGCCATGTGCAGACATTAGATGGGCCAGATGAAGTGCTTCCACTGAAACCAGACATACAGTCAGATAAACAATGGCTGCAGAAGTTTGAGAAACAGCCACTGATCAGTCACAATGGCTGCAGTTAGAAACACACATTGATAAACACAGTCACAAAGGCTGCAGTCAGAAACACACAGACTAACACAGTCACAAAGGCTGCAGTCAGAAACACACTGACACAGTCACAAAGGCTGCAGTCAGAAACACACTGACTAACACAGTCACAAAGGCTGCAGTCAGAAACACACTGACTAACAGTCACAAAGGCTGCAGTCAGAAACACACTGACACAGTCACAAAGGCTGCAGTCAGAAACACACTGACTAACACAGTCACAAAGGCTTCAGTCAGACACACACTGACTAACACAGTCACAAAGGCTGCAGTCAGACACACACTGACTAACACAGTCACAAAGGCTGCAGTCAGAAACATACTGACTAACACAGTCACAAAGGCTGCAGTCAGAAACACACTGACACAGTCACAAAGGCTGCAGTCAGAAACACACTGACTAACACAGTCACAAAGGCTGCGGTCAGAAACACACTAACACAGTCACAAAGGCTGCAGTCAGAAACACACTGACTAACACAGTCACAAAGGCTGCAGTCAGAAACACACTGACTAACACAGTCACAAAGGCTTCAGTCAGACACACACTGACTAACACAGTCACAAAGGCTGCAGTCAGAAACATACTGACTAACACAGTCACAAAGGCTGCAGTCAGAAAAACACTGACTAACACAGTCACAAAGGCTGCAGTCAGAAACACACTGACTAACACAGTCACAAAGGCTGCAGTCAGACACACACTGACTAACACAGTCACAAAGGCTGCAGTCAGAAACACACTGACTAACACAGTCACAAAGGCTGCAGTCAGAAACACACTGACTAACACAGTCACAAAGGCTGCAGTCAGAAACACACTGACACAGTCACAAAGGCTGCAGTCAGAAACACACTAACACAGTCACAAAGGCTTCAGTCAGAAACACACTAACACAGTCACAAAGGCTGCAGTCAGAAACACACTGACTAACACAGTCACAAAGGCTGCAGTCAGAAACACACTGACTAACACAGTCACAAAGGCTGCAGTCAGAAACACACTGACTAACACAGTCACAAAGGCTGCAGTCAGAAACACACTGACTAACACAGTCACAAAGGCTGCAGTCAGAAACACACTGACACAGTCACAAAGGCTGCAGTCAGAAACACACTGACTAACACAGTCACAAAGGCTGCAGTCAGAAACACACTGACTAACACAGTCACAAAGGCTGCAGTCAGACACACACTGACTAACACAGTCACAAAGGCTGCAGTCAGAAACACACTGACTAACACAGTCACAAAGGCTGCAGTCAGACACACACTGACTAACACAGTCACAAAGGCTGCAGTCAGAAACACACTGACTAACACAGTCACAAAGGCTGCAGTCAGACACACACTGACTAACACAGTCACAAAGGCTGCAGTCAGACACACACTGACTAACACAGTCACAATGAAACACAGAGCCATGGCATTGTGATTCACGAAGACAAAAGTCAACAATTAATAATGTCAACAGACAGCCACTTAAAAAGGTACCCTGATTTTCAAATATGTTCTGCATAAATACTAAATCCTAAAAACTAACACTAAATATGATGTCACTCACAGAAGAAACAAACAAGCCAATGTTCGGCTTCAATGGTCAAGTGGCTTCTCAGGAGATGACGCAAACAGAGCGAAGGAACAAATTTTGGGAGAATTCAGGAATATGATCAAATGGCAAATGAGTCAATTGAGTCAATTTTATTTCAAGGCCAAAATTTAAAATATCACAAAAAATAGACCACAAGTATTGAGGCCCAATACTAACTAAACATGTACCATAGTTATAAAATGGCCTTAAAGACCTTAAATAAGTTTTCAATGTGGCTGCTGTAGTGGCCATATTGAAATCATATTGGAACCCGGACAGGTGAACTGAAAGACAAACACAATTAGTTAATCTGTTATTATCCCGACATTGACTGCTGTGCACTTTAAGCATCCTTTGAAGCCCAAGAATTTTGAGCAAGTTCTACAGGGTAGGAACTTCTGAGCCAACCACGTTAGATCATGCATGAAATATAACTAGATCTTCCACCGACACTACCAACAAGGCAGAAAGTGAGCAGGGCACACTAATACCCCGACCTCAACTCCAACATCAGCCGAAGAACAATTTTGATATTGGAGATATATTGATGCCTTAACGTTTGAGCCGGTTTCTCTTAAAATGCACAAAAATACAACATAGTAATGGCATGATTCAAAGATGCACTGGTGCATCATTGGCAAGCTTTGCCGGATACGGTACACTTGACTTGACATTGCTTAAGGCTCTCTGATTAGTATAGAAAGTGTTCCTTAAATTTTGAAAAACGCCATGTTGTAGTTCTCAAGTTATAGGTCACACAAATGCTGAAGTAAAAACAAACATTCTAAGTTCAAAACATGTAAAATTAATATTTTCTCAAAAAGCCACACATCAATATCAAAAATTTTACTGCACCTCTTCAATTAGTATTAGTTCCCTAAATTTGAAAATAATCCATACAGGAGTTTTCAAGTTATAGGTTGCACAAATGTTTGAGTAAAAATATTCTACGTAAAAAAATGAAAAATAGCTTTATTTTTCTAGAAAATATTCTAAGTGAAAAAAATGAAAAACAGCTTTATTTTTCTAGAAAATCCAAATATCAAAATCAAACTTTGCACTGCACCTCTGCTATTGGTACAGAACATGTTCACCAAGTGTGAAAAGAATCTATGCAATAGTCTTCAAGTTATAGGTCACATAATAATAACCTATGAATAGGGTTCACAAGGAAACTACACCAGAGATGTCGAGTTCGCTGTGTGCATTGTGGGGCAGGTAGTCCCTTATCCCTTGGGTAATATTGCTTCAACGCAACGTCATACCAGGGATTGTTTCTTCCCCTAGCCCCAGTTTGTCTAATGTTAAAGGTATCCTGAGGGTGATCAGAATTTGTTTTCTTTGGTCAGACTTGCATTATTTTGTGGTTCACATTTCTCGTTTAAATCCTGGGTGATAGGCAGAAAATATTTTTGAAAAAGAGAATGTTGCTGTGTGTGATGTATTATTGATCCAGTACCATCATTCTTGTAGTATTACATGTTAAGTGCACAATTTCCTGGTGTTGAGAACATCAGTTTGCAATGTAATAACAGAAAAAGTGCTTTTCAAAGCTTAAGCAAAATAATAAAAAATAAAGTTTAGTACAGTATTATCATGAATGACATCAATGTCCCTTTTCCTCAAAGGTCACAAATTAATATATTTTCACAATCAACCCTTCGCAGATAAACAGATTTGTAACATATTGTCAGCCATAAGGCATTGTGTCATTGTTCCTGGCATTTGAGTCTTCCTTGGCAGCAACATAAGCATTGACTCCTTTGATAATTCTACAGCTGGTCAAAATGAATTGGCATTACTCAAAATATCTGTTTCATATCAGTACCAGCTCTTTCCCTGATGCTGCCTTCAATCATTAGTGGCCATCTGCAACTGCTGCAGAAAATGCCTGCATTTTATGACGGCAAAGGAATCAAGGGCCTTTCCCTGACTTTTGTGAAATTCTGACACCAAATCAAGCTTAAGAGTCAATTGAACGATCGGAGACGTTGAGAACAGTGTGTAATCAATATTGAGCAACTGCCTACAGAAATAGACAGATGACAAGGACAATGACCACAACTGCTCCATCCTCCCGAGTTGTCCTGGGCCCACAACCTGATATTAGCGCTAAGACGATTGTAACTCCCATACTTTAGCAAAGACTTATGACAATCGTGGTACTAAGATCAATTTGTGGAATAGGGTTGTGCCCTCTTCAGGGTCCAGTTTCCCAAAGTGATGTTTGTGCTAAGATGATTGTAGCTCCCATACCCTAACAAAGGCTATTGGCAATCATAGCGCTAAGATCACTTTGTGAAGTGTGACCTGGAAGGGCTCTCTGATGATATGCAAGATCAAACAGAACGGAACACTTTGTTATTTTTCTGTTTATGGAAGGACCGGCCAGAGCAAAATATTACAATCGGGAAATAAAATAGGGCTATTTTTTTTATATATGTGACAGTTCCATCTTTAATGCATAAGAAAAACATACAACCATAAAAATCAAACTTTTTCAAAACTTTTTCAAAATTCTAGCATGTAGTCTCTGGTCACCTCATAATAAGAACAAAATCTTCTCTGAAAATTTAATACATGTATGCCTTTTACTGTCAAACATCATTTTTTTCCCACTAAATCGATGACTCATAATGTCAAATGAAATTTCATTTTATTTCAGCAACCCCAAGCCACAATTAGGTCAAGAACAATAAAAAAAAAATATACGAAAAGATGTATGTTTTTTTTAAAAAAATGCCCCAAAGCTTCTTGTTTATTATTATACTGAAGTCAAACATCAAACATATAGATGCCCCTAACACAGGTGACAAGTACAAAGTTCCTGATGACTGTATTAAACTGACTTTTAATTTCTGTCTCTCTCTCAATGTAAGGGGGCGGTCGGGTAGCCTAGTGGTTTAAGCGTTCGCTCGTCACGCTGAAGGTCCAGACCTATATTTTCCAGAATTTAATTGCCCATAATTATGGTGCATATAACACATGAGTGCGTATTATGCATGAATAAATAAGTCTTGTGTACACTGATAAACTGGAAGGGGTGCTAATTGGGATTCTTCACTAGCCAATATATTAGCAAATATCGCCATGGGCGCCTATGAGCGGGGCGCTTATTACGCCAAATACGGTAGACTGTGTAAATATATGTGGAGTTTTGTGTCAATGATACAGAATGATATAGGATAATAAAGAAAATCTCATTCATATCTAATATATCAACACCTGATAATAGAGGCCTTATGGAATAATTTTGCTACTTTAATCAACTTGTGCTAAAATATTAAATTTGTAAAA